GAGGATGTCACATGCTAGTGCGTTTCACTTTTGTGATCTAGTTGTCTAGGGTTAAAATACAATTTCAAATATTGTGGCATGTCTATAAGCTTTCAGGTGATTCTGAATATTTCTACTAATCTACTATGAAAATTCACCTGACATGTACCTTATATTTAAGAGTCCTCCTGTTCTGTACTACTGGATGAATTATGGTTGAGTGAAAAACTATTTCCACATAATGGGCTGGACTGCTGCTGACCTTGAGAGCTGCTTGAGTGTGTGATTGGAGCAGCACCGCCCCACTCCAGCATTCGTGGCACAGCTGCCCCGTCAGCGATCGCCTCTTGGTCATTTGCCACAGCGTGCCACCTGCTCTACCTTCGTTCCCCCCCTCCCTGACCACCTGTCGAAGTGTCGTTGCCCGCATCCCCTTCGCCTCCCCTCGCCGCCGTCCCTTCCAAGCAGCAATCACACCACCACACCCATGCTCCCCGCCCCGCACAACCCGCTTGTGCGCACCAGAATTGACTTGAAGCATAAATCTTGTCCCCCGCCCATACCTAACAGACCACGCCAACTAAGACCATTACCCCTTCCCCTCCGTCCCGTTGTCCGCGTCAACTATGGCTGCCGCGGTATCTGTCCCTTCCCCCGCATTGCGCGGCACCGTAACTTCTGCGCGCCATGCCGCCTTGCCACAAGCCAGCGGCTCCGCGTCGCCAGCGGGGCCTGCGCCACAAGTAACTCTCAGATCGTCCTTCACGCAATCGCGCGCCGCCGTCACCGGCAGAAGCCGGTCGAGTAGCTGCCGTCAAATTGCTGCTTCCAGGCGGCGATCGGCTGTCAGAGCGTCTGTGGCAGCGTCGGCGCCGAATGCGCAGGCGGCGGCGGCGGAGGCGGAGTGGGCGAAGCTGTCGAAGGTGTGCGCGGTGCTGGGCACGCAGTGGGGCGACGAGGGCAAGGGCAAGCTCGTCGACATCCTCGCGCAGCGATACGACGTCGTCGCGCGCTGCCAGGTGAGACGCCGTGAGGCGGCACGGAGAGGCGAGAGCGAGAGCGAGAGATGCGGGGAGGCGATCGCAGGGATTGGCGCAGGAGGGAGACACACTTGGGGCTAAACGGACGAGGGCCCCGCACCTTGCTGGATCGCGTTAGGCGCACAATGAGGCGGTTAGTGCGAGGCCAGCTGGCAGAGACCGAGCATGGGACGCTTGTTGTGAGACGTACCAAAAGCTAGTTCAACTTCCACATGGCAATTGGACCCTCAATTTGAATCCCGTGGTTAAAAAATTGTCACTTTGACGAGCGAAATCATGATCAGCCCGTGTTCGAAGCACCTTCGTATGTCTGCACCGCCGATGCCCTCGCGAGTAATTTGGTTAATTATCAGCCCAGCCGCTGCAAGAATGGCTGAACAAACAAGGAATTCACGTCGCTCTCATTCTCGCGGAAATAAGACGAAATTGTCGACGTCAAGGCACCATTCCGCTCCCCACCCCCCGCGCGCCGTGGTGCAGGGCGGCGCGAACGCGGGGCACACGATATACGACAGCACGGGGCGGCGGTTCGCGCTGCACCTGGTGCCGTCGGGCATCCTGCACCCGAACGCGACGTGCGTGGTGGGCAACGGGCCCGTGATCCACCTGCCGGGCTTCTTCAAAGAGCTCGACGGACTCGAGGCGAGCGGCGTGACCGTGGACGGGCGCATCCTCGTGAGCGACCGCGCGCACCTGCTCTTCGACCTCCACCAGACCGTCGACGCGCTCCGCGAGGCGGAGCTGGCGGGCGACAAGATCGGCACCACGAAGCGCGGCATCGGGCCGTGCTACGCCAGTAAGGTGCGCACACCGTGGGTGTGACGGGGACGGGAGGTGTGGGATTTTTGCCCGGGGCTTGTGGGGGAAGGATGTGTGAGAGGGGAGGGTGTGTGTGAGAGAGGAGGTGGTATGTGATGGGCAGGCGAGCGTGTCTGAGGAGGAGCGGAGTGTGTGTGAAAGGGTGTGTGAGGGAGAGGGGAGGGTGAGTGTGAGAGAATGGGGAAGCGGAGCTGAAGAGGGTGCCCGGACGAGTTAGGGCAAGGTGGGAGAGAGCACAAGGGGCTGTTGCTGCTGCTGGCCATGCTGACTGGCATGGGAGCGATTGATAGTGGGTGGGTGGTTGGGCTGGGATCCCATGTGCCATGCTGCTCTCATCTTTGGCACATCACTTCACCAACGCAACTGTTCCCCGTGCTCGCCCCCCTGCATTCCCCCTCTCCCTCCACCCTTTCCCCCCCGGTCAGGCGATCCGCAACGGGGTGAGGGTGTGCGACCTGCGCCGCATGGACACGTTCCGCGCCAAGCTGGAGACGCTGTACCGCGACGCCAGCCAGCGCTTCCCCGCCTTCCAGTACACTGAAGCCGACCTCGACGCTGAGGTGACGCGCTACAGGGAGTTTGCCACCCGGCTGGAGCCGTTCATCACGGACACTGTTCACTTCGTGGGCGAGGCGGTGCGCGGCGGGCGGCGGGTGCTGGTGGAGGGCGGGCAGGCGACGATGCTGGACGTGGACTTCGGCACCTACCCCTTTGTCACCTCCTCCAACCCCTCTGTCGGTGGCATCTGCACCGGCCTCGGCATCCCTCCCCGGGCGCTTGGGGACATCATTGGCGTCGTGCGTCCCCCCTGTCCAAATACCCGCATGCCCACACGCCCATACCCGAACGTCCACTCTTAGCCACTTGACATCGCTGCTGCGGCCTTGTTCCTCTTGAACCATTCGTGCGGCCCTCACCCATATCACCCCTCGCTCTCACCCTCACCCCTGAGGTCCTCCTCATCCCACCCGCACCCCCTTCATCTCTCCGCTCATCCTTCTCAACCCCTCCCAATCTCACCTCTCCTCCATTTAAACCCCCCACCATTTCATCCCCCCCGGGCTGCTCTTCTCCAGGCGAAGGCGTACACGACTCGGGTGGGCGAGGGGCCGTACCCGACGGAGCTGTTTGGGGAGCTGGGAGAGCAGCTGCGCAAGGCGGGCCACGAGTTTGGCACCACCACGGGGCGCCCGCGGCGCTGTGGGTGGCTGGACATAGTGGCACTGCGGTACGCGTGCCAGGTGAACGGCTTCACCGCTCTCAACCTCACCAAGCTGGACGTGCTGTCGGGCCTGCCAGAGCTGCAGCTGGGCGTGGGCTACCGTGCCCCTGACGGCTCGCTGCTGCCCGCCTTCCCCGCTGACCTGGAGCTGCTGGGACAAGTACAGGTGCGTGCCGCCTGCCCTGCGCTGCCAACATGCCTCACATTCAGTGCCCGTGTGCGTCGATAGTTTCTGTCGTTCTGTATGACTGCACGGGTGGCCTCAATGCCAGGCTGTGTTATCATATTGCGGTGTGGGTGCAGGTGGAGTATGAGACGGTGGCGGGGTGGCAAGAGGACATCACAGACGTGCGCACGTTCGAGGAGCTGCCGGCCAACGCACAGGCGTATGTGCGGCGCATAGAGCAGCTGCTGGATGTGCCCGTGCGCTTCATTGGTGTGGGGCCCGGCCGAGATGCCATGATCGTGCGCACGTCAGAGTGACGCCCATTCTAGCGAATAAGATGGCATTGCAGTAGCTACCACTGTCATTGTTTGAAAAAAGTAAAAAAATAGAAATATTCAAATCCCTCATGCAACAGTTTAACTGATGAGGATCACGAGGTTTCAGAATGAAATGGTTGGCTTCGCTGTGATCGAGGCACTACTCCATCACACAGATTCCATCTTGGCGCGTATCAGATATCGCGTATTTCGACTCTCATTCTGTCATCATTCCATAAGCTTCGTGCCGACTGGTCACTTATTACGCAACATCCGCGTCGCTCTCACCTCCTCAGACTCGTGAATCGGCGCGCAGCGGGGACTCGGCGGGCAGGATGCAGATCTTCGTGAAGACGCTGACGGGGAAGACCATCACGCTCGAGGTGGAGAGCAGCGACACCATCGACAATGTCAAGGCCAAGATCCAGGTACGCTCCCCCGCTCCCCCGCGCCCCCGCGCCCTTGCGCCCGCCCTCGCGCCCGCGCTCGCTCGCTTGCTCGCTCCCTCCCTCCCTCGCGCCCCCGCGCCCTTGGTTCCCCGCCCTCCTTCCCCCGCGCCCTCGCTCCCCTGCGTCATCGCTTCCTCGCGCTCTTGCCCCCTCGCCACTGCACCGGGCAAGGACTCGCGCTGCCGCCGCCGTGCTAGTAGCTGGAGTGCTATCCTGGTTGCGACGCGTGTTCTGAGGCGGTGCGTGCTGTGTGCGGCGCGCAGGACAAGGAGGGCATTCCGCCGGACCAGCAGCGGCTGATATTCGCGGGGAAGCAGCTGGAGGACGGGCGGACCCTGGCGGACTACAACATCCAGAAGGAGTCGACGCTGCACCTGGTGCTGCGGCTGCGCGGCGGCATGATGATCAAGGTGAAGACGCTGACGGGCAAGGAGATTGAGATCGACATTGAGCCCACGGACACCATCGAGCGCATCAAGGAGCGCGTCGAGGAGAAGGAGGGCATCCCGCCCGTGCAGCAGCGGTGAGCACGGAGGGCAGGTTGCGCCTGGGTGCATGTGTGGTGCTCATGGGTGTGTTGGTGTTGTTGCGTTGCACCAACTCACCACTCAGTGGGTTCTTGTTCATAAGCGTCCCATGCCACCCCATTCCATCCCACCCAATGCCATCCCATCCCATGGCATGGCATGGCATGGCAGGTTGATCTTTGCGGGGAAGCAGATGAACGATGAGAAGACGGCCAAGGACTACAACATAGAGGGCGGCTCCGTGCTGCACCTCGTGCTCGCCTTGAGAGGCGGCTCCGCCCCCTGCTAGATGCGCCATGCTCCACACCCCACACCACACTCCTTTTCTAGTTGCTGTAGTTACCATAGTGGTGCAGGCCCTAGGGTAGTGGACGTGGCAAGGCGATTGCCTCGTTGGCTTTCCCTTATCATTGCATTGTGTTGTGAAGGCTCCGAAGTGCATGCATTATTAACCCAGAAGACAACAGCAGGAGCACGGAACCTAGACGGGGTCAATGAGGGTGACGGACAGGCCGAGGGAGGAGAGCTGCGGCATGACGGCAGCAGCGTCCGCCACCACCACGATGGGCTGCTCCCCAGGGTGCAGGCGGCGCTGCGCCGCTGCCAGCACGGCCTCGGGGGAGAGTGCTTCCACGCGGCGCTTGAACTCAAAGATGAAGTCCTGATCGATGCCAAACAGCTCGTACGTCATTATGCGACTCAGCTGTGCTCCACTGCCAGTGGGCACGTGCATGGGGAGGAGAGGCATGCGGGAATGAGGTTGCAGAGCACATAAGCAGTGGAATAGCTTGGAGTGACGAGACATATGGGAGAGGTGGGTGTGCATGGAGAGGAGAGGTACCTGTCAGCGAAGTTGAATACGAAGGAGTTGAGCACCCGGTCCTTGGCCTCCTGTAGCTCGCCTGCACTCCACTCCACAGCAGCACCGCCACACACACATGAGGTGACAATGGATGAGTGCCTTTGCCGCACACAACAGCTGCTGAGGCATGAGGTGCCAGGCAGTGGCAGTGGGGGCCTCACCCGGTGAAGGTGGTAACAGCGTGGCCTCGCCCAGCACGCGCTGCACTGCTGTGACGAACTGCCCCACTGCCTCCGCCCTCGTCTCCCCACCCCCCACAAACGCCCCCTGCACGCATGGGACACACACCGGCACAACTGCTGGTGAGAGAGAGCAGGTGTTGCACTCATGGGCAACGGGAGCTGAGAGAGCAGCGCAGAGCAGGCAAGATAGTTAAGGGCGAGCAGGAGTGAGGTAGGGCAGAGAGAGCAGGCAAGCACAGGCGGGCAGTGGCAGCAGCAGCGGCACGCACCCGGTGGTCAACGCCTGGCGACCACGAACCCGACACCGAGTATGCCAGACCCTCTCTCGACCGCACCTGCGAGGGGAGGGGAGGGACGCATGGGCATTTGCACACACACGAGTCCATTTGGGAGCAGGTTTTACAGCAGCAAAGGGGAAAAGGGAGTGAAAGGAGAAACAAGGAAAGTTGGCGTGAAGGAAGAGGCAGCGAAGGAGGTGGAGAAAGGGGAGAGGTGGAAGAGGGTGTGTGGGTTTGGGAGGTGACCTGGTCGAAGAGGCGGCCACCGAAGCCATTGAGGATGGCGTTGAGCACGTCCAGTGCAAACACGTCCTCGTCGCTGATCGTGATGCCCAGCTCTCCCACGCGCACTATGCTGCGAGGGGGGGAGGAGAGGCAGGTGAGAGGAAGCACAAGGAGTGCAAGCAAGGCATGAGGTGGGTGGTCAGCATTGCCATGGGGTGAGCTGCGAGCCCGCACTCACATCCACACCTCTGCCTCACTCTGCCCTGCGTGCCCCTTCACTCTGCCCTGCGTGCCCCTTCACTCTGCCCTGCGTGCCCCTTCACTCTGCCCTGCGTGCCCCTTCACTCTGCCCTGCGTGCCCCTTCACTCTGCCCTGCGTGCCCCTTCACTCTGCCCTGCGTGCCCCTTCCCTCTGCCCTGCGTGCCCCTTCACTCTGCCCTGCGTGCCCCTTCCCTCTGCCCTGCCCACACCCCTGCCCCACACGCACCTCTGGGTGAGCCCGGGGCGGTCCACCACATACACGCCCGCTGCGCTGGCTGCCACGCCCTCCTCCGGGCCCCAGTACGGCACCGCCCGCCCCTTGGCAGCGCGCCGCGCAGGGGTGGCGGGGGCAGCGGGCCAGGCGAGGAAGGTGTCTTCCAGCAGCGCGCGCATGCTCCGCGCGTCAAAGTCGCCCCACACTCCCAGCACTGCCTGCGATGGGTCGCTGTAGGAAGCTGCGTGGAAGGCGCGCAGGTCGGCGAGGGAGATGCGGGCGACGTCAGCAGCGAGGGGGTAGCGGCCGCGTGGGGAGGCGGGGCTGTAGAGCAGGCGCTGCAGCTCCCTTGATGCCACCCGCCCTGGCTGGCGTGGGGGTGTCAGGGAGTAGGAGGGAGGGGTAGGAGAAATGGATGGAAGGTGGGGAAGGAGGTGGGGGCGTGATGCAATGTCCTTGGCTTGTGGAGGGCTACACAGTGGCTCATTTACGGATGAACGAGCGTGGCATGGGCATGGGCATGGGCATATGAGAGGCGTACAATGAGCAGGTTGGGACAGGGGGTGGGTGGGAGTGGGTGGGGGCGTGGGTGGGGGCGTGGATGGGGGGAGGGCATGCATGGACGCACATCGTCGTTGCGGCGGGCGATGGAGCCGAGCAGCTGCGTGCACGAGAAGGCCAGCTTGGATGCTGGTAGCAGCGGTGCCAGCACCACTGGGGGGGGCGGGAGAGGGGAGCCACGGAGTCGGGGGGAGAAAGGAGGACATGAGTGGGGAGGAAAGCGAGGGGGTTCACAGGAAGAGCAGGGTGAGAATGTCTAGAGCCTGGGCTCAACACATTTGCATGGAGCAGAGGCAGGCAGGGGCGGGCAAGGGCGAGGAGGGCGGACCATCGCGGAGTAGTGGGAGCAGGGTGGGGGCGTCCTCTTGCAGGCAGCGGAAGGACGCTGAGAGCGATGAGGTGCCCGCTGATGTCTCTATTGACGCCGCCATTGCCTGCCCGGGGGGGCATGCACAGGGGTGCACGAAGATTGGCACACGCAGAGGGGCACATGCAGAACGCAGGAGCGATGAGCAAGGATAGATTGAAGGGATGGCGGCTCTGCTGGGATGGGGGCTGTAACGGGATGAAATGAATTCCGCGAAGGTGCGAGAGAAAGAGAGTTGCACTGCACCAATGGGGTGGGCGGTGCATGCTGGGCGGACCTCAAGCGTGTCATCGAGGTGCTCCTCGGGGTACTGCTGCGTGCCCCCACTGCGCTGCACCGCCGCCATCATGCCCGCCACTCCCACCTGTGCACACAGGGGGGGAGAGCACAGAAGCATAAATGCCTACTGCTTGCATACATGCATGGCCATGGACTCATGAGTCATGGGAAAAGCATGGCAAGGATTCACACCCTCCCCTAGCAACCGATAACTGGCCAGGCACATGCATGGTGGGAGGCGCACACATGCATGGTGGGAGGCGCACACATGCATGGTGGGAAGCGCACACATGCATGGTGGGGGGGACACGCATGCATGGTGGGGGGGACACGCATGCATGGTGGGGGGGGCACGCATGGGGACCGGCACATGCACGCATGGGGGACATGGGCCCACCTTGTCGGGCGCTTCATACTGCGCCCCGCCCTTCACGAGCAGCTGCCCACCCACCTGTGCGCATGCACATACACGGTTGGACAGACAGACAGTAGAGTGAGCGTCATGTGCGAGTGAGTGGTGGTGTCACAACGAGGCACGGGCGGTATGAGTGCATCAATCTGGCCCCTCTCAACCTCCCGCCTTCACCTCACCAGCCCCACGCAGCGCTCACCAGCCCCAGCTCGTGGTCTTCGAGCAGAAAGACGCGCAGGCCGTTGGGCAGCACGAACTGGCACGCACATAAGGGAAGAGGAGGGGGAAGGCACGACAGAGAAGCGCCATGAGAAGCATGGGTGCGTGTGAGACACGTGGTTCTGAGAGGTGCAGTGGTTCGAACGGCATGAGAGGTGGCGGGCAGAGGGCAGGCGGGCGAGGGGGGAAGTAGAGGGGCATGCGGCATGGGTTACGCAGGTAAGGGCGCGCACCTGTTCGTAGGGCGGCAGGGCGGGGTCAGGCAGGGGCGGGAAGGCCGTGGGGATGGGCGGCAGGTGGCGGGTGGACGCGCGCGCGCTCACACGGGCTGAGGGAGAGGGGGAAGGCCGCAGGGGAAGGAGCGGAATGGAGGGGGCGCACACTCAGCAATGGCAGGTGCGCTGCAAGGGGGATGCGGACGAGCGGCGAGAGAGGGTCGTTGGACAGCGGGCCAGTGCGCAGCGATCTGCTGGTCGGAGGGCGGACGGGGAGGGGGGCCAGTTGCGGCGGCTCTTAGTGAGGCAGCGTGCACGCACCCTTTCTGCCCCTGCGCCGCATCGGCGGCACCTCTGGCATCCACCTGGAAAGGCGCCCGCCTCCATTCCGCCATGTCGCGTTGCTGCTGAGAGCGCCGAGCGCGGACGGCGCTGAGCCAGCAGCGCGACGGCCGGTGAGTACAGGCGCCGAGGCGGGCACAGCTGCCATGCCTGGCGCCGCTGTAGGGTGCCTGGCGCCGCTGTAGGGTGCCTGGCCTGAGCGGATGGGCGCCAATTGATGCACAACGAGCGCACACGGCGGCGCGACGTCCCAAGTTACTCGGTACTCGGTAGTGCGTGGGCGTTTCGTGCAGAGATGCACTTGGCAGGGAGAGTAGTGCGCGGCATTGTCTGCTCTCTTGGCGCCATCCTCTCAGATTAAAGCTGATGCGTTATTGAATATAATTTCCCGTGCTACATTGTTTAGCTATTATACAAAAAAGCATGGCTAGAACAGAACAGGTGAGAAAAGCACAGCAAAAAGCTGGCCAAAGGTGCCTTGAAGCAGCAATTACATTCTGCAGTGATCAACAAAGGCCACGTCAGGAGTACAGCAAAAATGGCCGTTTTCTCGAGAGCAAGGGGGCGTCATTGCACAGCGGAGCTGTGAGGCGAGCGATTGAGGGAGGCCCAGGAGGTGTCGGTGACAACCTGGCGCATGTCCTCCCAGTCGGTGTTGGCCAGCGCGTAGTAGCGGTTGTCCCTCACTCCTATGCAGTTGAAATGCGCCATTCGCCAACACGTCCCGTTCTGCCTCACCATCCATGCACACACACGCACCGCACAAGGGGGGGGAAGGCATGTGAGGTGCATGGCTTGGGGCCTCATTGGGTCAGAGACCAAGAAGAGCACGCGCTGAGAGAAGCATCATGACGCCGCTATCCCAATGCAGCACACAGCACCACCACAGAAGCAGCAGTAGCAACCCAGCAATCCAGCAGCTCAGCAGCACCTGGTCCTTGTCGCACCTGGTCCTTGTCGCATGCACACAGCGCACCTGGTCCTTGGCGCATGCACACAGCGCACCTGGTCCTTGGCGCATGCACACAGCGCACCTGGTCCTTGGCGCATGCACACAGCGCACCTGGTCCTTGGCGCATGCACACAGCGCACCTGGTCCTTGGCGCATGCACACAGCACACCTGGTCCTTGGCGCATGCACACAGCGCACCTGGTCCTTGGCGCATGCACACAGCGCACCTGGTCCTTGGCGCATGCACACAGCGCACCTGGTCCTTGTCGCATGCACACAGCGCACCTGGTCCTTGGCGCATGCACACAGCGCACCTGGTCCTTGTCGCATGCACACAGCGCACCTGGTCCTTGTCGCGGGCGTTGAGGCCGAGGAAGCGGGGCTTGGAGCAGCCGGAGACGTTCCAGATCTTGGGCAGGGTGCGGCACTTGTCGGGGTTGTTCATGCACATCATGGTGAACACCCACTGGTCGCCCGGCCTGAACCCCCACACCTCCATCGCTTTCTGCTCGCCAAACGCCTCCATCACCAGCTGCCATGCCATGCACACGGACACGCACACACATGCAGGGGGACGCGCACAGGGGGGATGCTCCACGGCTTGGACCACCCCTCAACGCCAACAACCTAGAGCCTAGAGGCCGTGAGCATAGCGACAGTGGGCGAGGGTGTCATCAGGGTGGGGCGGGCGGGCATACGCGGGTGAGGTTGTGCAGGGGCGGGTGGGGAGTGCAGGGGCGGGCGGGGAGTGCAGGGGCGGGTGGGGAGTGCAGGGGCGGGCGGGCATACGCGGGTGAGGTTGTGGCGGCGGAGGCGGTCGAGGTCCATGATGAGCTGGCAGGAGCAGAAGGGGTAGCGCGAGCGCGGGCCGTAGGCGGTGGGGTGGTTGTCGCCCATGAAGAGCAGCAGGTCGGGGTCCGCGTCCATCTCGCGGAAGTACCCCCACAGCGCGCCCAGGTCCTCCGCCGCCACCATGTCCACGTCCAGGTAGATGGCGCGCCGCACGTTCCACAGGATCTCCGGCAGAAACAGCTTTGCAAACCCCGCCTCGCCCGAGTGGTGCGTTATGTTTATCCCCAGCAGCTCCGCCTGACACCCCGCCGCGCGGAAGGACGAGGGGGGGGATGGATGCGCGCATGCAGCTGAGCTGGTGGTGCTACAAGATACGGTGCGCGCATGGAACGCAAAATAAGGGGTAGCAGTGACGTGTGGTTGAAGGCGGCGCACTTGCCTTATGGCGAACCCAGCAGACAGGGATGGGGTGGATGGTGTAGCCCACTGGAGGATCGTCCGCCACCTGCATGCACGCACGCACCCACATAGCGCACAGCGCACGCACTCTCACGTCAATACAAAACCTCCAACTTCCTGGACGCCTTGCACTGAATGCGTGGCTCACGGCCCGCCAGGCACGGCACACGGCAGGAGTGACGCAGGGCGGGACGGGCGCGCGGACCTTGTCGTCGTGGTTGGGGTCGTAGCTGATCTGGTCGACGAGCGCGTCGATGTCGTGGCGCACGAGGTTGGGCGACACGGGCCCCACGGCGTCGAAGGGCACGGCGCCGAGCTGCTCCATCATGTCGGAGATGCCCCACTCCTCCGCCTCGCCCGACACCATGAAGTGGAAGAATAGCCGGCACTGCGTCGACATCAGGATCGACTTGAGAATCACCTCCGTCTCGTCGCGCGTGAACGGCTCGCGGTCCCATTGCGCGCTCACCAGCACGATGTGGATGCGCTCGTTCACCGTGCAGTTGCTCACCGGCCGCGGGAGCGAGCACGGGCCCGACGGCCGAAACCCGATGATACGGACTACGCGCTCGGTGTCTGCGAATTCCTCACTGCCGATTAGCCACGCGACGGTGGGAATTAGAAAGATTCGGACGAAATGGACGATCGCAAAGGTGACGAGGAGGACTCGAAACGCGCCCCCTGGCTGATTGAATGCTTGGTTAAAGGCCTTCATGACTAAAGGTTGCTGGACGGAGAAGTTGGTGAATGACTTGTCAAAACAAAAACTTAATCTATACAATTACGTTACCATCAAATTCGTCCGTTGTCGTCCAGCCTGGTTAGGATACCTGGCTTTCACCCAGGCGACCCGGGTTCAAATCCCGGCAACGGAGCACTTTTACTTCTGTTGAAGCTGTTATTTCGGCTAGTGTAATGGGAACAGTGTAAACGTGCTTACTAAGTGTTACAGGTTATTTTACTGCTTAAGGGTGGTTTACCCTAAACAGTACCCCAACCTCATCCTAACCTTATCTTCATCCAACTTATCCAAGATTTCCAAGATTTCCTAGTGCCACGTGGAACTTTAGCTTTTTTGTCTCTACTTTCTAATCCCACGAAGTACATTCCAACAATCGCTCTTGCATGCTACTTAAACCTTGCTTGTACTTGCCATTATCAATCAATTCTTATTCAACTATCACTCAGTTACTTCTTCGCCTCTTTCGCTAATAGTTCTTTTGCCAAAGTCTTCCGCTGCGTTTTCATCCTCGACTTAGTCGACCCCGCTATTCTTTAGCAGATTTAGGCCAGCGGGCCTATCATTTGGTATCAGAGCCTTCGCAGGGAGCGACCGTCGACGACGAGACTACGACGCCATCGTCCCGCGGTGCCAACTTGCAGACTTGGATTCGTCGAGCTAACATGGACGAGACCATGAACGCTCTCCCCAACGATATGGGCAACATGCTTGCTCAACTCATGGGCCAACTCGAAACGTTGACGTTAGAAAATCGCCAGGTACGTGCTGAAATGCAACAGCTTCGTGATGAGAAAAGAAGAACGAGAATGAAGGAGAGTGGTTTCACTAGCAGCAATGAGGATACATATAGCAAACCTCAGATGGGTTGTACTCGCTATAGAGCACCCCAATACAGGCTAGAGAATGACATTCTGACACACCCCCATAGCCAAAGTGGGGTGTAATCAGCACAATGAGCAAGCAGGCATAGAGCAGGAGTTCACAATAGGTAAGTAAGGCTAGAGCTAATCACCGAGGGCAAGTGAGGAGGAGGAGAGACTGTGGGGGAGAGAAGATGGGAGGCGACTGCTGACGCTGCAGACACACAGACGAGCTGCTGGCTCAGTGGCTACCGAAGCAAAGGCTCGGACTACAGGAGTAACTGGCTCCGCGGCTAAAAGTAGCGGCAGACGAGCAACTGACCCACAGGCGACTGGCGACTACCGGAGATTGTAGCCTCCGGACTGCTGGTGCTGCTGACGACAAGACTGCTGCCTCCACGCAACCTCCCCCAGCTGCCCAACGCCCCTCTCACACACCCCCTGCTCAAACCCTAACCCTACACCCACAGCACCCCCGTAAACCCTAAACCCCAGACGCCCACACATCCACCTCCCTCAAAACTCTAGCTCCACTCCCACAGTACCCCCCTTAAACCCTAAACCCGAGGCTCCCACATATCCACCCCCCTCAGCGACAGCTGCAGCAGTGGGAGACGAAGGAGGAGGAGGAGCACGGGAGACTACACACCCGTCACCCCCTTCTTGCCACCCCCAAACCCTAACACAGGGCAGGGCGGGATGGCGGGTAGGGAGGGGGGGGGGGGGGGGGCGACGCGCGGCCTCCCAGGGCGCCAAAGCAGGCGGCAGAAGGGGCGACGCTCGCCCCCCCCCCCCCCCCAGGTTCAGCCCCCGAAGGAGCCGCGACGGGCGACGGGAAGGGGGGGGGGGGGGGGCGGTGCACCGGTGCGCCGCGGCTGGCGGCGGGGCATGGCCGGGGCGGGGCCGGGGCCGCTGTAGGCGGCGACGGGGCCAAGGAAGGGCGGCGACGGGGCCGCTGAAGGGCGGCGACGGGGCCACTGGAGGGCGGCGACGGGGCCGCTGAAGGGGTGGCGGCAACGGGGCCGCTGAAGGGGCGGCGACGGGGCCGCGGAAGGGCGGCGACGGGGCCGCTGAAGGGCGGCGACGGGGCCGCTGTAAGGGGCGGCGTCGGGGCCGCGGAAAGGGCGGCATCGGGGCCGCTGAAAGGGCGGCGACGGGGCCGCGGAAGGGCGGCGACGGGCCGCGAAAGGGGCGGCGACGGGGCCGCGAAGGGGCCGCGAGGGGCCTGGAAGGGCGGCAACGGGGCCGCTAAGAGAAGCGCGAGGGGCACGCCACGAGGCGTGCCGAGCACAGAGTAGCAGCGGAAGCAGTTGGGTCCTAGGATCGAAACCACTCTGATAACATGAGAAAAGTTGAACGAGAATGAAGGAGAGTGGTTTCACTAGCAGCAATGAGGATACATATAGCAAACCCCAGATGGGTTGTACTCGCTATAGAGCACCCCACTACAGGTTAGAGAATGACATTCTGACACGTGAATTCGCGTCAATTCCTCTTGGTCATCCCGCACCATCTCTTGCACCAAACACGTCAACTGGCGCGGAAGCGCTGCCGGAACGTCGAAGCGCGCTCAAGCCGCAGAAACCCGAGCCGTTCGACCCAAGTCAACGCGACGCAAACGTGCGGACGTGGATCTTCATGCTGAACAACTACTTCGCCACGAGCGGGGTGCAAAAGGCGGACGCGCAGCAGTGGATCGACTACTCCGTTACGTTGCTGAGGGGCCCGGCCTTGGAGTGGTGGCGCCAACTCACACAAACTGCTGTAAGAAGGGCTCATTTGGACGGGCATCAACAGGGCGAGGGGCATGCAGCTGCAACTTCGAGCTTAGGGAGTTTAGCTTTGGGTGTTACCACGGTTCCGACGACATGGGAAGGATTTGAAGCAGCGTTGAAAAGTAGGTTCGACTTGGTGAATGCCTCCGAAGCTGCTAGGAAGCGTCTACGTCATTTCCGACAGATAGGAAACGTTCAGGAGTACACACGACGGTTCTTGAGCATCTGCAACGAGATAGACGATATCACGGAAGCAGAGATGCGCGATCGCTACCTCGAAGGGTTGAAGCCGGACATAGCAGAGATCATAGCGATTCACGGGTTGTCCACCTTCGAGTCGGTAGTCGCAGCAGCAGAACGCGTCGACGCAGTACAAAGCCGACGGGGTCGTGACGATCGCGATAGTGGATATAACAAACCGATCAACGACGCTCGATTGAGGGACGGTCCGTCGCCCATGGAAATTGGTGCAGTTAACAGTGACGACTCACAAAAAACAAGTTTTAGGGGGAACTGTCACTATTGCAAAAAGCTGGGACACATGAAGCGGGACTGCCCACAGCTTAAGGAGCGGTAGCAGGGAAACGGAAACCGCTAGTAGGTAGCGGGTAGCTAGCTGGTGTGAGCGCTTCCGAACCCGCCAAGTCTACCAACGTAGAGGAGACGGCCTTAGAGCAGTCATCTACGCCGACCGAGGTAGACACTGTTGATCATCCAGTCGTGTTTCTAGGGAAGCTTCGTGGAGTTCCGGTCAAGATTCTTGTAGATAGCGGAGCTAGCCACTCTTTTGTCTCTTCATCGCTAGTTAGTCGTCTCCATCTCAAAGCAGATTCGGCAGTCAACTTCGAAGACGCACGCATGGTAGATGGCACGTCTCTCCACATAGGACCAGTCATCCGCAAGTTGCGCGTAGTGCTAGGACAAATCACGGTTAGGCGTGACTTCGACTCTGCGACGCTGGACGGTTATGACTTCATCTTCGGTAGAGATTGGCTACGAACGGTTAGTACTCAGTTCGATTGGGCTCAGGGAAGCTGCAGCGTCAAGGTAGACGGGGAGTTCCGGGAACTGCCACAGTGGAGCGATGGGGCCACATCATCCACAGCTATCATCAATGCTGTTCGTGTGCGGCAGCTGGTGAAGCGTGCGACACGGATCTTTGCGGTTTTCCTTGAGGAGGTGGAAGCTGAGGAGGCGAAAGGAGGGAGTGCAGCAGTTGGTGAGAAGGTGACTCTTCCTGCTGAGGTGAGTGCATTGTTAGCAGATTTCGCAGACGTCTTTCCCGGCGAGTTGCCCCCAGGGTTGCCTCCCAGCCGAGCAGTAGACCATCGGATAGAGTTGGAGCCGGGAAGCAGACCAGTAGCGAAGCCGCAGTGGAGGTTGAGTCCAGCAGAGACAGAGGAGATGACGCAGCAGGTTAGGCATTTTCTCGCTCAGGGGTTCATACAACCATCTAGATCGCCTTGGGCGGCACCGATCCTTTTCGCGCCTAAGAAAGTCGGGGGGTTACGGATGTGCATAGACTACCGCGCACTGAACACCGCCACCGTCAAGAACAGATTCCCGGTGCCGAGAGTAGAGGATCTTCTCGATGCAGTGCAGGGCGCTAGAGTCTTTTTAAAGATCGACCTTCGTTCGTGTTACTACCAGATTCGAGTAGTTCCGGAGGATCAGGACAAGACGACGTTTCGTATGAAGCAGGGGTTGTACGAGTTTAGAGTTCTACCGTTCGGTTTGACCAACGCCCCAGCGACGTTTCAGACGCTCATGAACACCGTCCTCTCTGAGTTCCTAGGTTCGTTCGTCGTAGTTTACATAGACGACATTCTCATCTTCTCCAAGACGAAAAAGGAGCACGTGCAGCACTTGCAGAAGGTCTTCGAGGTCTTGCGTAAGGAGCAGCTATACGCTAAGCAGTCGAAGTGCGAGTTCTTCCTCCCCGAGGTCGAGTTTCTAGGTCACGTCGTTTTGGCTAGTGGCAGTAGGACCGACCCGAAGAAGATCGCAGCCGTACAGGATTGGGTAGCTCCGACCTCAGTCAAGGAGTTGCAGAGCTTCCTCGATTTCGCGAATTATTACCGTCGTTTCGTTCAGGGTTACGCTTCCATTGCTAGTCCACTCACCGACCTACTTCGGAAGAGATGGATGGAGTTCATGGAGGGGAGTTTCCACTACAGGATAGAGTACAAGCCAGGCGTGGGCAGCCCAGCAGATCCGCTCACTCGCCCTAGTTGCCAGCTCGCCAGCCTCACAGTCAATACCGGCCATCCAATTCTCACAACACTCTTCGAGCACGGTTACACAGTAGATCCCGACTTCACACCGCAGCCGCGTGCAGGAGCAGAGGTGCAGGGTAGTGTCTACATTCGGAAGGGGACAACACGGATTTGGGTTCCCGCCTACCGCCCTCTTTGACATCTTCTTCTCTCCGAGGCGCACGACGTAGTTAGTGTAGGCCACTTCAGAGCAGATAAGACGGCTAAGACGCTTAGTCGCACGTACTTTTGGCCAGGGCTTGTAGTAGACGTAGAGGATTACAATCGCTCGTGCAACACGTGTCAGCGTATGAAGTCCTCTCACCAGCGCAAGGCAGGACTTTTGCAGTCGATTCCACCACCCGACCGCCCTTGGCAGGTAGCTACGATGGACTTCATCATGGCTTTACCACTCACAGTTAGGGGTTACGACGCCATCTTCATGGTAGTGGATAAGTTTTCTCGAGCAGCGCACTTCATCCTCACGCACGGCAAGGTCACAGCAGAGGGAGCCGCGACGCTGTTCGTAGATAACGTAGTCCGACTGCACGGGGTTCCAGACTTCATCATCTCAGACCGCGACCCTCATTTCACTTCGAAGTTATGGAAGCAACTTTTCGCACTGTTTGGGACTCGCTTAGCCATGTCGTCTGCGTACCATCCAGAGACAGACGGACAGACCGAGCGCGTGAACCAAACCTTGGAGCAGATTCTTCGCAGCATAACGATGCACGACGCAACCGCATGGGACAAGAAGCTGAGCATGGCCGAGTTCGCCTACAACAGCACGCATCACTTGTCCACAGGCATGTCACCGTTCTTCGCACTGTACGGTCAGCACCCCAATGTCCCCACTCGTGTCAATCTCACACCCACAGTCCCTTGTGCGGACAACTTCCACCAGCATCTCACCTTCATTCATGATCACGTGAGGAAGCACCTTGAGCTTGCAAATGCACGCATGGCACGCACCACCAACCGCAGTCGTCGTGAGGTGTCAGTTTCAGTCGGCGACAGTGTTTTTTTGGATAGCCGCAACCTCAGACTGCCACAGGACAGCAAGCTTCGCCCACGTTTCATTGGTCTATTTGTCATTGAGTGCGCACTTGGTCCAGTCGCATACCGCCTCCGCCTTCCCGCTCATTTCCGCATGCACCCGTCATTCCACGTGTCTCTCCTTCGTCCATACACCGATCCCAATGCCACCTTCTCGGGCCGTGATCACACTCCATTGCCGGTAGCTGTTGACACTGACGAGCCCGACTACCAGATCCAGCGCATCCTCAGGCACCGTCGCCGTCTCCAGGGGGGTGTCTCTTTCATCGACTTCTTGGTTCGTTGGCGTGGTTACGAACGATGCAGCCGACGACAGCTGGGTTCCTTCGTCCTCGCTACCTCCCGACAACGCTTGCCTTCAAGCGTACCTTCAGTCTGCAGGCGCCGCGGACGTCGCCTCCTTGGGAGGGGGGTAGTGTTACGGGGTATTTTACTGTTCAAGAGTGGTTTACCCTAAACGGTACCCCAACCTCATCCCAACCTTATCTTCATCCAACTTATCCAAGATTTCCTAGTGCCACGTGGCACTCTAGCTTTCTTGCCTTCTACTTTCTAGTCCCACGAAGTACTTTCCAACAATCGCTCTTGCATGCTACTTAAACCTTGCTTGTACTTGCCATTATCAATCAATTCTCATTCAACCATTACTCAGTTACTTCTTCGCCTCTTTCGCCAATAGTTCTTTCGCCAAAGTCTTCCGCCGCGTTTTCATCCTCGACTTAGTCGACCCCGCTATTCTTTAGCGGATTTAGGCGAGCGGGCCTAACACAAAGACAATGCTTTCATCTAAAGCGGAATTCTTACTAAGTGGGTTCTCAGACTGATGTCAGCTGACCTCGGTATCGTCTAGGCGGGAACACCGATGCGTCTCTTTGTTCGACCCTTCGCCATGAGGCGGCCTGTCAGTGTGGGAAGGGAACCGAAGCGAACAGATGGGTGGGATGGGAAAGGCAAAGCTGAATCTAACATGGAAGAACCAAGGCTTCTCTTATTCTAACGTCTCCCTTCAACTTCCACAGCATCCATTGTTTTCCATAGCTATGATGCGGCCCTGGAACAAGCTGACTAGCGTCAAGATTCGCTAATCCATATTTGGCCATGGTGTCGTCAGGCGGAAAGCACCTGGCTCAGGCCAGGCGGACCTCCTTGATGAGGTTACGAACAGGGGGACTGTCCTTATGCAGGAACGCAGTTGTAATATCTGTAGTCGCTCTCGCTAGTGCGTTCGTATTCTTCGGTTATCGCCTGTCTAGCCCGTTGACATCACCCGCTTCATCCACGACGCGTAAGGATCGCTTCTTCACAGTTTTGCACTTGATGACGAACGCATTCCTCACCCAAACGACTCTACACCTGTGCAGGTCGTGACAACTCAGTAGCAACCACAGTAGACCAGGTACGCACGTATACTTCCCCTCAATATCCATCCGTTATATTATAATCAGGACTTACATTCAAGTTTCAAAATATCCAGGTCTTATCCTCCGAGACAAAAAGTCTGGCAGCTCTGGAGCAAATAGAGTCGCTTTTCCCGAAGGAGGTATGCCTGCTAGTGGAGAAGTAAACATCTACTTTCTCCACGATCTGTTTACTAACTATATCTCCTCGGTTTTCCCCTAGGTACTAGACGTCGTTAATACTAATGCGGCTGATTCGTCCCTCCCGGACTTGCGCTCGCTGTCGGTGGAAGAACCGACATCGGTTGCGCTGGAGCGAATTCAGGAGAGGCGACGGAAAGCGCAGTCTGTGAGTATACTGCTCGCTCCGGTATCAGGAATTTGCTGCATAACAGCACAGAGGCACTGACTCATCGCTTTTCAGGTTCCCTCGGAAGACCCGCTCGCCACGTTGGGAGCTTCCACTGCCGATCACGCCAGCCTGCTGGCCAAAGCTGCTGCAGAGGGTAAGTCGCATCGCCAGTTACCTGCGCATGGTGCTGGGTTTTCTTGTCGCGTCCCACTGATGGTCCGCGCTTGGATGCAGGGGAGGACCCGGAGTCGTTGAGGGCGATGGAAGCCCTTCTGAAGCCGGATCCCAATGATCCTGCTCGACGGATAAGACGAGTACGTCGCCGCTCCTCAAATTTGTGTTGTTATTGTACAGCGACTTCGTGCTTATATGTGAATTTCTATTGCAGGAAAACCGAATTCGTCGGCGAGACAAACGGCTTCACGAGCTGGTGGCGCAGGAGTCCATAGAAGACGACGCTGCTGAGGCGGAAGAGAAGAAGAAGAAGGGGGCTGGCACGGAGCCCGCCATCGCTCTGAACAAATACAGCATCTGGCGTAGGGAGGACGAGAAGATAGGCGGGGACCAGATGATTAGACTTATTCAGGATCAGCTGATCATGGCGCGAGCGTACATGGCCATCGCGCAGCAGCATGGGGATTCGAAGCTGTCCAAGGAGCTGAAGAACAGGATGAAGGACAGCACCAAGTCGCTAGGCGAGGCAACCACGGACGCCGAGCTGGCTTCCAAGTAGGTCGTCCCCTTCCACTTACTTTCGTAGTGTAAAACTACTTTTCGTATTCCTGATTCGACAAGAAACCTTGAAGCATTCGTTTTCGTGCTCTGCAGTGCGGTGGAGAAGATGCGCGCCATGGGGCAGTTGCTGGCCAGAGCGAGAGATCAGCACTACGACTGCACCGGAATGGTGAAGAAGCTACGTGCCATGGTGCATTCTGCTGAAGAGCAGGTGAGTCTCAATCTGTTAGTGGCTGCATCTCCATCCTTGCACACGTGGCTGACCGGAATCCTCTTCTGCTAACATTTCAGAATCAAGCTCTGAGGCAGCAAAGTCTTTTCCTGAGTCAACTCGCTGCAAAGACCATACCGAAGGGAATCTTCTGTCTCTCCATGCGACTGACTATAGAATACAGCAACCTTTCTCCAGAGGAGCGGGAATTTCCAGGAAAGGAGAAGCTGGAAGACAATGACTACCATCACTATGCACTCTTTTCTGACAACGTGCTGGCAACAGCCGTGGTCGTAAATTCAACTGTTGTCAATGCAAATGTACGTCTGTCTCCACCGTTGCCACTGCCAATGCACGTCCATGTTCAACGGTTGCTTCTGCACACCCAGACAGTGATCAAGGCCCTCAAGAAACTGCTTCCGTGTTTTCTCCCTGTTCAGGACTCCTCTAGGCACGTGTTCCACATTGTGACTGACAAGCTCAACATAGCGGCCATGAAGGTGAGTTCAATGGTTGGTTCTGTTGAATATCGAAAGTCTGGTGGGAGATAAATTGACATTTGTAATGTCTTTGCAGTCATGGTTTCTCTTCAACCCTCCCAAGGAGGCAACGATTGAGGTTCAAAGCGTTGATGACTTCACGTGGCTCAACTCGTCCTACTGCCCTGTCCTGAGGCAGTTGGAATCTGCATCAATGAAGGTACAGTACAAGAGCTGATGCAAGATATGCGGTTCTGCTTGGACCACGTGGATAGCATTTGCTGAAACTCATGTATTCTTGTTTTGCAGGACTACTATTTCAAGACAGGGCAACAAACAGAAACAGCGGGAGGTGCAACAGCAAACCTCAAGTATCGCAATCCCAAGTACCTGTCAATGCTGAATCACCTCCGATTCTATCTGCCTGAAGTTTTCCCCAAGCTGGACAAGGTTCTGTTTCTGGATGATGACATCGTGGTTCAAAAGGATCTCACACCACTGTGGGATGTAAGTGCCTGCTCTGCTGCTCCATACAGCTTCTTGCTTGAATGCATTTTTTGTCAATGACTGACATCTCCTTGCGTTTGGCAGGTCGACCTGCATGGAAATGTGAATGGTGCGGTGGAGACATGTGGGGCCAGTTTCCACAGATTTGACAAATACCTCAACTTCTCCAATCCATTGATAGCTTCTAACTTTGATCCACAGGTACCATTTGTCCGTTGAGGGTTGCAATAGGGGTTGTCCTGCGGTGAATCTATATGGGCACCAGCAATTCCCCTTGATCTGTCCTCCTGCAGGCTTGTGGCTGGGCATACGGGATGAATGTCTTCGACCTGAAGCAGTGGAAAGTCCAAGACATTACCGGTATCTACCACAGATGGCAAACACAGGTGGGCTTCAAGGTTGAAAGACATCCGTTTCACTTCAATGCTGTTCATTCCCTGAAATCCCAATGAGGGCTGTCAAGGTGGAGCGACAAAGTCCAGCAGCTTTGATGCTTGAAGATTGTTTACTGCTTACTAACTGAGTTGCTGAATCTATGTTTCAGAATGAAGATCGTACTCTATGGAAGCTTGGAACGCTACCGCCTGGTCTGATCACGTTCTACAACAAGACTCAACCAATCGACAAGGGCTGGCATGCCCTTGGACTCGGCTACAATCCAAACCTTGACATGGATGAGCTCAACAAGTAAGCCATACCGTCCACCTGTATGTGTACCTTTTGCATGTGGTGCTTACTAACATCTTTCATTTCCTATCATGCAGTGCTGCAGTGGTGCATTACAATGGCAACATGAAGCCATGGCTTGAGATTTCAATGACTAAGTTCAAGCGGTACTGGACCAAATATGTCAAGATAGACCATCCGTTTATGCAGCAATGCAATGTGAGCCCTTGACTACATGTATCCTAGTGCATTTTACTCACAGCAATGATATTCAACGTTTCTACTCTTGTAGGTGTTGTTTCACTAAGTTACTGAGCATTACATTTTCGGAGGAAGTTACACATCCGGTTGACCATACTGTAGTTCAGGAATCAGGATTCGATACCCTCAGCCTTAGGAAAAATGAAGTGCGGTACACAGCCTCTCTGCTAGAAGTACTGGGTGAGTTCTTCACCACTGAGCTCCTCCAGTTTCTTCACCAGGCTTTTTGCACTCTCGGCCACATTGGCGTCTGAATCTTCCAGCAGCTCCGCCAAGAAGGGAATAGATTCGGGCAGCAGCACCACGTACTCTTCGCGAACCCGATCCACAATCTCGTTGACAACACGCAGAGACAGCTGACGCGACCGCACCCGCTCACTCCTAGTGCACATCAGAACCTGCCACAAAACAAGAAATGCAGGCGTCCAGATAAAACGTCGACATAATCTCAAGTCGAAGGCACAACTTGCACTCCGTTCTCACAGCACAGTACCTGGTGGTTGAGCTGCTTCCAGAGGATATCAGAACCCCCTGCAATGGTCATTTCACCAAGGCATGTCACGAGCTCATCATCCACGGCGCTGATGCTTGGGACAGACACTGCAATGTAGGGCTCCAGCATTAGGTGTGCCTCTGAAAGCTGAGAAGCCGCTGAGACAGCTTCTGGAGCAGACGGAGCAGAAACAATGGAAGCCACCCCAGCTGGAGGCTCTCTGTCGATTTGAGATATGAGGGGCTCCAAGAGAGCCTGGACACATCAAGGGCATTACAGCTGTTAGATAAGAGGAGGACACACACATTCTTGAGTTCCTAACCATGTGTTGAAATCACTGCAGGACGGCTGCATACCTGGAAGCGTGTTGCATCCAAGAAGGCAGCGTTGGAGTCATAGATGAAGCACTTGTGCAGCGCACACACCACCAGGTGCCTCAGCTGCCACTGTGCAATGCTGTCCTCTGCTGCTGCTGCCACGCTTGCTGACTTGCGCCTCTTCTTCTTCATTCCACCCTTGGCAGCATCAATTGTGCCAACAAGGTGGCGAATAGCAATGTCAAAGAGGTACTGGAAGTATGGCACGAACACCGACCTGAGAGGAAGGGTTGCAAGGAGCACAAAGCCATTCGTGTGAAGCAGAACAAGACAGAACCAGTAAGAATCTGTGTACTCATGCTTATGCACAAGCGATCTTCATCTTCTGAAGCAGCAGCAGCAAGAGCAGCAGCATGAGTACCTGAGCTTGTCAGAGAGCACGTTGACGAGACCGAAGAGAGTGAGGTGTCGCTCCACTCTGCCTGCTGGCGAAATGGCATCACCATTAGCAGCATATTCACTGGCGGCCCACTCAAGCACGCGCACAAACATGGGCTTGAACACACTCTCACTCGTCTTCATCACCAGCCCCACCATTGCCGCCACTGATGCTCCTTCCACATCAGGAGCTGTGACCATCTGTGTGCCACCTGGCAGACGCTGATTGGAGGAGCTGTCAGTGGAGGGGGGAAAGGGAGGGGCGCGGCGGACATCGAAGGTGCGGAGGAGGAGGAAGTCGAAGATGCGGGCGTGGAAGGTGGAGGCAGCAGCCCGGTCCATGTGGGAGGCGGCGCGAGCCAGCATGTGCAGCAGAGCAGCAGAGGGTGCAGGGCCTGCAGCTGTGGCCGTGGACCAGGAGGAGACCAGAGGGTCTAGAAGCAGCCGCATCTGGAGCAGGGGAAGGGCGGCAGGGGAAGGGCGGGACACGATAAGGCAAAATCAGCCCGCGATCACCATATTCCGATCTAGTGTGAAAAAGGGATGCTGGAAGTTGGACCATATCTGCAGATTGTGTGAGAACGAGGCAGTTGACAAAGAGTTGGTTGGTTCAAAAAGTGAGGGGCCTTACAGGAAGCTTCTGAATGAGCAGCTGTCGCACAGCTTGGGCATGCTGCATCACCGACGTCGAGGGGCAGCAGAGAAGCACGGGACTGAGACAGGTGCAGGCGAGGATGCGAGGAGTGAAGGGAGAGAGGAGAGGACCCATGGCTGCCAGCATGGCTTCCAGAGCCTGCAGCACAGCAGCCAGCAGGTCATGTGCCACCCCCTCACTCACCACCTCTGCTCTCCCATGCCCCTCACCCTCCTCCATCTGCTCATCCGCATCCTCAGCACCCCCCTCATCTGCCCCAAATTCCTCCACCGCCCCATTTCCTGCCGCAGCAAGGGCCCGGTCAGCTGAGGCAAATAGAGGCGGCATGAGGACAGGCAGGTGGGGCAGCAGCAGATGGTGCAGTGAGGAGGCGAGGGAGGAGAGGCAGCGCAATGCAGCAGCATTGAGGAGCGGTGGGGACGAGTGAGCGGAGATGATACGAATAAGAGGGGCCAGTGCCGGAGAGAAATCTTCAGAAGCCAACGACGCGAAGCGCTTGATGATGGCATCAAGTGTCTGAGGAGAGAAAGATGGGGAAACAAGTGAGAGGGGAGGGAGGAGATATAGGTTACGAGATAAGGAGGGTAAGAACGATGGCACAGTGAAGTAACCTGCACAGGATGAAGCAGGAGTGAAGTAAGGAGCTGCGCAGAAGCAAGAACCAGTGGCCCGCCTGCTGCTGCTCTATTTTTCTGACCTGCAGAGCAGCCATTTGTGTTGCCAGGGACCTGTCAGCCCCCTCGAGTGCGCCCATGTGCGCCAGCTGTCCTGCCACCGATGCATACTCCCTCGCTTCTTCTTGAGCTGCCTGCGCCAACCGCTGCTTGCTCCTACCCTTGCCCCGGCCATGCGGCATGAGGGTGTGGGGTGCGGAGGCCCGCACTCGGGCGGCAAGCAGCCGAAGAACCTGCGAAAAGAAGAGGGGAGCAGTAAGGCGGGTGTGGAAATGCCAAAGAAATGCATTGTCCATGTGGTGTATAACAGTATATGTAGTTTGGTTTGGCCCAACATGTGCGACACACTATCAGCAGTACCTTTCGTCGAATATGAGTGCTGGGGTTGGTCAGTAGCGTCTGCACCGCTTGCAGGAACACACCACTAGGAGTGACGTCATCCAGAGTCTGCAGCAGCTCATACGCTGCTGAAGCCACCAAGTCCGCCCTGTCCTTGAGGGCAGGAGGATAAGATGCGGTGGTGAGGGGGGGGGACACAGCAGCACTGGCAGCAGCAGCAGCAGCAGTGGCACGGAGGCGAAGAACCACATGCTCTAGGAGAGACACAAAGAGCTGTCGGTGCTGGGTGTCAACCATTGCAGCGTCACCCTCATTGTTGAGCCCTCCCTCCCCACCCTCTGCTGGATCTGCACTTCCCTCCATCCCCAGCTCCTCCTCCATAGCTGCCACTGCAGCCGGCAACTCAGCACCCACGAAGCTCACCACAACCACATCGTCATTCGGACCCGTCCCACTCCACCAATCACATGCCTCATCTGCTGCCGCACTCGCCTTCCGTCGCGCTATGATTGGAGGGCACGTGGCTTCCAAGAGTTTCACATACGCCTCGAGTCGGATGCTTCCTGGAACCTGCGAACAGAGCTCAAATGCCAGGCTGAGCCCCCACTCGCCTTGCTTCTCATCGCCTGTGCTGTCACCCCGCCGCCTCCAGTATGCGTGCTGCTGCAGCGCTGCCTGCCTGCGCGCCCGCGCAGAGCGAGGGGTATCTTTGGAATTGTCGGCACGTGCTGTGAGAAGGGAGGGTGTGACGCCTGTGGTGGTTAGCAGTAGCAGCAGAAGCGGAGCTAGGCCCAACGATGGAGAGACACCTCTGTGGTGGCAAGAGGGAGGGAGAGCGTGGGGTATTGGGAAGTACCAAGAAGACACAGGATTTACAAGGAAAAGAGGAGCAGGAGAGCTGTTCAAGAAAAAGGACTCAGCAAGAGGACGAATGGGGGAGGAAAAGCATTGAACAAGGAAAAGGAAGCGAAGAGATGAAGGCACCTGAGGAGAGCCGTGAGGAGGGCGATGCGGTGGTGATGAAGCATGGAGGGCAGGGATGACACGACCATCTGGAGGGGCACAGAGAGGGGTGGTGTGGGGTGGGGGAGAAACGAGGGTGAAGGGAGGGTTTCCACAATAGGCCCAAGCTGGTGGAGTGATGACAGAGTGAATGTTCTTCGAATTGTCTAGGCAACTGATACTAGTGGAAGTCGAAGCAGCGACGGCAACTGATATCACTAAAAGGTACCATAGGCAGGGAAGTGACATCTGTGCTCACGTAAAGCAGGAAGTGACATCTGCAATCACCTGAAGCAGGGGAGTGGCATCTGAACTCTTCTTAAGCGGGAAAGCGGGATCAGCATTTACCTGAAGCAGGGGAGTGACATCTTGGTTGTGGTGCAGCCATGCAGGAAGCACTGCCTCCACGAGTCGGTGGATGGCGTCGTGTGACTCCCGAATGTCCTGATGGGGATGGGAAACGCGAGATGGGCCCAAAGTGGAGACACAGACACATCCACTCAGCCACCGGAGCAACCACACAGAGAAAGAGCGAAAACGAAGAGGAGTGCCACAAAAAGGGGAACAAAAGGCAGCAAGGCCAGAAGCAAAGAGGAAGGAGTGCTGCTGATGGGAACAAGGAGGAGCGAGCGAGTGAAGGTGCAGGGGAGGAACACACGAGGGCGAGGGTGGTAGTGGTGGCAACAGAGAGCACTGCCACCACGTGCTCCACCACCTCCTCTGGCTGCCTTTCTGCAGCAGCTGCCAGCACTGCTATGGCTGCACTCGCAGTGGCAGGATCCCTCCGCCCCTTCACCACCTCCACTGCCGCCCCCACCATGTGCACCACACACTCCTCCTCCCCATGCTCCATGCCCTCTTCATCCTCCTCCCCCTCACTCTCCATTGCCTCGTCCTGTCCCTCCTGCATGTGTGTGTGTGAGGAGAGGGCGTTGCGCGCCACCGTCAGCACCAGCTGCAGCACGAATTCAACGGCTCCTAGCATCTGGGCGCTCATTGCAACCTCACTCCCAGCCACATCGCCCTCTCCATCCTCTGCCTGCTGCCCACCCTGCTCTCCCCCCTCTTCCTCTGCATCATTGGAGTTGGGTGCTGGTAGCATCGGCCAGCGGTGGGAGAGAACAGAGCTAATGGTCGTGGCCAGCGACGGGAATAGTTGGATGCTGGGGAATGGGCACAGCGCAAAGGGCATGGGGAAGGGGAGGAGGGAACAATAAACATAGAGTTTTATGATGATTGGATCATGGTGGGATGGAGGGCATAATGTGCGACATTGCAGGGCTAATTGCAACTGTGGTGTGACGTCATAAACTCAGTTCTTCTGTGCAGTGACGTCACCAACTCACGTCTGCTGTGCTGTGACGTCCTCCTTCCACAGCAGCATCTCCAGCAGACCAGTTGCGGTAGCCACACGTCGTTCCACGGGCAGCGAGTCAGACAGTGGCACATAGCCACCTATGTCTGGCGTGTTGGAGCTGGTCGCCTGAGGGGCGCCGTGAGACACCGATGGTGGAGAGAAGAGGGCCGTGACGAGGCGCGCAAGCATGGTTGGGCTCAGCTGAGAGGGGGGACGGAGAGGAGAGGGAAGGAGGGGGAAATATCGGCGTGATAGTGTGAGCTTGAATCAGGGATCAATAATAAAAGCAGTTGGAGGGAGGGAATGAACCGCATGGAGAAACAGGGCCGCATCCACCTCATATTAAAAACCCAGTGGCAGGTGCATGTTGTGCATGGGCCTGTATGTGTGACATGAGCCCTCAGCAGCAGCACACCTTGAGGCGCCGGAGTGCCTCCTTGGCTGCCTGGCGCGCTGCAGGCGAGGCCTCAGATGCTGCCATGAGGAAGAGCAGACTCGCCACGAGCCCATCCTGAGGAGGACGAGGTGAAGCGGCAGAGGTTGGAGGGAGGGAGTGCAGCACAGAACGGAGACGAGTGGTTGATAATGTTGTTGCTCAAAGAGTTAAGGAGAAAAAACGGATGACGGAACAATGGCAAGCCCGGCTCACCTGGTAGGTGTCTGGCAGTGCCTCCAAGAAGTCATCTGTGACCACACCTGCTGCCGTGATGGATGGGGCCTCCACTGCCACGTCATCAGCTGACATGGCACCCTGAACCTGGAGGAGAAGAGAGTGGGAGCAGCAGAAGTGAGCATGTCAGCAGCACATGCTGGTTCCCTGGACCCACATTGCCAGCCTGCATTGCCTTTCCACCCTGCACCCACATTGTCAGCCTTCATCACCAGATCTGAACCTCACCTGCACATTTACACCTTCCCCATCTCCATTGTCCCCTGCACAGCCACACACCTGCTATACCGTACCTGCATTGCCATGAGCAGCAGAGGTGCAACGTCAACAGCGGCAACTCCTTTCCCTGCTGTGTGCTGCGCTTTCTCCTTCCCATGTTTTGCACTCTCCTCTCCTTCACCTCCCTCCTCCCTCATCTCCTCGTCCACATCTGCTTCTGCCAGAACCCCTTCCTGCCCACCTCCTGATGCGGCCGCAGCTACAAGCTGCAAGGTACAGTGGGAGAGAATACGTTTCGCGCTAGGGAAGCTGAGAATCAACAAGCACATGCCAGCAGCCTCATGGAGACCCAAGCCCGAAACCCACAAGGTGCAACGCTGAGGCAGGGACGTGCTTATGCAAGGCGAGCATGATACATTGCAAACCCCATTGCGAATGCTAGACATAAGAACCCAGGTCAAGGGCATTTGATTCACAGGCGTACCTGCAAGCCCACAGCCAGCAGGTGCACCTCATCCAGTTCCAGCCTTCCCCCCAGCCGTGCTGCTGGGTCCACTGATGCTGGCTTGTGTGGCAGTGGCGGCCCAGCAGCACCTTGCGCCAGCTGCAGGTGGTAATGCAGGCGGCGAGAGAGCAGCTCGTGCAGGCGAGGCAGCAGTAGGCCCAGCGGGAGGAGAGCGGTGGCTGCTGGAATTGCTGCGAGCATGTGGAGAGCCAGGGCCTGCAAGACGTCAAGTGAGGGGTGGAGCAACAGCAAGATCAGTTTAATGCCACGTGCCGGAAACATGGTCACCAATTAAAGGACGGGTGGGTGAGAAACGGAGAAATAGTACCAACGCCAGAAAAATGTTGAACGTGTTTGTGATGGTTGCGGTGGTGTGTCCAAGAGGCAGTTGTGATACCTGAGGCCATGGAGGAAGGCTGATGGCAGCATTGAAGAGAGCTGAGAGCAGGACGGTACGGTCAGAGGGAGTCAAGCTGCGATAGCAGACAGACAAACATGCGGAAGAAAACAGATCTTGAAGCTAGCCGAGCCTAAAAAAGCGCTGCCACACCTGGATGGGAAGTAGACGAGACGCAGCACAACTGGACATGAATGGCACATGGAAGCAACATGCCATGAAAAGAGACAAAGCCGTTTACCTGGAACCAGTGGACGCAGCACATGAGGGGTCCAGCAGACGAATGAGCAGAGCAGCAGCTTGGCAGGGTTTGGAAGGGATGGTGGTAGAGGATGCAGCACGTGTGAAGGCGGGCAGGGAGAGGGCAACAGTGGAGGAGGAGGAGGAGGAGGAGAGGGCAAGCGGTAGGGAGGGGTCCGAGAGGAGAGCATCCTTGGAGGATGAGAAAGTGTATGCAAGGAGCGAAAGAGAGGAGGGAGAGGGCAGGGTGGACGAGGAACTGGGGAGAGTGGCGGTCGCCTGCGTTAGGGTCGCGAATGCGTGGAGAGCTGCCTTGCGAACGGGCTGAAACGCACAACAGCAAAGAAGGAATCTTAAATGGGGCGCGGATGCGTCTGTGATGCCATGGCTTGTGAATAGCCGCTTACAATCATGAGGAAATGCGAGGAGCACAACAGCCACAGATTAAGTAAAAAGCAACAATTGTGGAGCTTGAGCTCCCACGCCCTACGCCTTCAGTCTCACCTTGTGAGGGCTCTGCACCGCCACCATAAGGCGCAACAGCGCTCCCAGAAGCACATGTGGCAGCTCCTCATTGGCCTTGGCGTCCCCTGGCACTGCAGCAGCAGCTACAGCAGGGAGGAGGGAGAGCGCTGCTAGTTGGAGGGAGGGTGAGTGAGACACGCGCGAGGGTGAGGGCAGGAGGAAGGGGTCCAAAAAGGTGAGGAGGGAGGCTCGAGTGGTGAAGCGTGCCAGCAGCAGCTGCAGCAGAGAAGCTATGCCTTGCTGCCCCGTGCTGCCCTCTTCCCCTCCTGCCGTTTCCCCTGCACGTAGACCCATGTCCCTCACAGCCTCCAACATGGCCTCTTGATATTCCACTCGTCCGCCTCCCTCACCATCGCTCTTTCCCCCCTGCGTCTTTGCCCTCCCTTGCACTGCTCCGGCAATGCGTGCTGCAGCCAGAGCAGCTGCCTTGGGACTTGCTGTGCCCATCAACAGCTCAAACACGCGCCCTGCCACAACACCTTGCTGCTTACGTGGTCCTGACACACTATCACTTATCCGAGTGGCTCCTGGAAGCTTCCTCAAAAGGGATGAGAGGCATGAGACGGTAAGGTCGGCTGAAAGGCTGAGGGAGTCGATGGAGGAGGCGGGGAGTGTGGAGAGCAGTGTGAAGATCTTGGCGTGCACGTCCGGAGCTGCTGAGAATGCGGCCTGCAGGCAGGAGAGAAGGAGAAATTAGAAGAGTGTTCTTCAATCCAGGCAAGAAAGCAGGAAAAGGCAACGAGGGGAAGTGAATGGCCAGACACATGAAAAGGCCAAGGCAGCACCTGAGCAAGAGAGGAGAGCAGGGCATCCAGGTGGACAGAGGCAGCACCCTTGCGTCGCTTCTCCCCCTCCCCTCCACTCCCATGCACTGCCTGCGCCACCACTGCCTTCCACGCATCCTGCACCAGCCCCACCACCTCCTCCGCAAATTCCATAACTCCTCCTTCCTTCGCCTCTTGGAGCTCCGTGCTCCCTGCCACAGCAACATTTTCACGTGATTGCAGTGCTGATTCCAGCGAGGCTGACGTGGCAGGGAGGCTGTGTGCTGCTCCAAGAAGTGCAAGCAGCAACAGCTGTCGCCCAGCAGGAGAGGATGAAGCAAAAGCAGAGCGGCTGAAGCGAATGGCAGTGCGCCACATGTCTTTTGAGGCAGATCGTTGTGCGGAGCAGAGGGAAGGTGGTGTGATGGCAACAGCAAGGGCGAAGGTTACGAGAGAGAGGGCATCGGAGGCGGAGAAAGAGGGCAAGGAGAGGGAAGCGAGTGAAGGGGAGGGGAGGTGGAGGAAGAGGGGGAAGTGAGGCGCGAGCTGCTGTGCCATGAGAAGAGCCTCGTGCAGCATCTGCGGGTTGGCGAGGGGACTGGCCGGACAGTAGGGCTGCACAGAGGGGTGGGGTGGGGATGACAGGGAGGGGGAGGGAATGGGCGAGAGGGTGTCAGCTTGGAAGGCGTTCCGTACAGAAGCAGAGAACATGAGTTGCATGGCAGGGGGACAGAGAGCGGAGTTGTGGCAGGGGAAGGGGATTGTCACCTGAGAGGGCATGAGAGCAGACAGCAGCACATGTGGCATCACCTCCTCCGCCACCCCCTGCGCCAAACCTCCCGCTCCCCATTCCTCCTTCTCCTCGCTCCCCTGCCCCTGGCCTTCCCCCGGATGTGTTTTGAGCGCTGGCCCCATGACAGCCGTGCGCAGGAGGTGAAGGGCAGTGCTCTGACACTCTGTGAATGGGGGCATGGCGCACACAGGGGCACATGGGTGGGGCCATGTGGGGCACATGCGGGCAGATGGGGACAAGTGAGGCCATGTGTGTTATGCGGCAGTGGGCTGGACTTTGGAACGTAGAGTGAGTAATAGCAGTGCGGCAGGCAGCCATACATGGGCAAACAAGCTGATAGAGCAGCAACCCCTTACCCTTGATGTGAGCAGGCAGAGGCTCGGAGGCAGGCGGCAGGCGGCGGAGGAGAATGGCTTTGAGAGGTGCGAAGAGTAGAGATGCAGAAAGGGCACGTGGGAGGAGCGGAGAGGTGACAGCAGCGTGCAGCACTTCCCAGCTGTCGTCTGCCAGTCGACGCTGCAGCGCAGATGACACAAATGACTGCACCTGAGAGGGGACAGAGACAGGAAGGGAGGAGGCCAGTGCACAGAAGCGGTGTAAGTGAATGATGGATGGTGAAAGCATCTGAACAGGGGAGAGCGACGCGTGTGGAAGACATCAGATGGATACGATTGCCAAAACAACTCCCCAACCACCACATAATCAACCCCATCTGCTCACACCTTTCCTCACACGCCCACTGCGTTCCCTGGACCCAGCGGCACCCACCTCGCCTTGAGCCGCCTCGTCCGTGTCCGTGTGCTTCCCTGCTGCCGCCATGAGCGCTGGCAGCTGCTCCACTGCTGCCTTCCGCACTTGCCACTGCCACACGCACCCACGACGGGCAGGCGCCACATGGGAGGAGGGAAGACAAGGAGATAAAAGTGCATAGTGATGAAAGACGAGGAGATGAGAGAAAGAGTGAATGTTTGAGTGCCTCATGTGTCACTTGTGTCACTTGCACATGGTCAACTGCACTCACTTGCGCATGATCAATTGCCAAATGAACTGACAACAGCTGCTGCTGCTGCTGCTGCTTCTGTTGCTGTTGTTGTTGCTGCACGCCTGTCCCCGTGGCAGCAGGAGGGGCATCGACTTGCTGCAGCGCACAGGGGCTGGCAGAGAGGGCCGTACCCAGGAAGGACACGAGCGTGGCGCGCTCGGCAGGAGCGGATGCGAGTGACTGGATGGGGAGGGGGTGGAGAGCATATGGAAGGCGAGGCAGAAGGCGAGAATTAAAAGGTAGAGCAGGGGGCAAGGGACAGAGATGCATTGAAGAGAAAGAAATGAGGCAAATGAGTGGGGAAAGAGAGGATGAAAGATGGAGGGGAATGAAGGCATGACCTGAAAGTTGAATTCGATAACTACAACGATTCAAGTGACTCAAAATCTGCACAGCAGCCTGCGGCCTGCCCACCTCAAAGACTGCAGCCACCTACCTCTAAGACTGCAGCGATGGCAGCATCAGTGGGTGAGGTGAACTTGAGGGAGAGGGCCAGCAGTAGCGGCTGGATGCGAGGTTCTGCCAGGGGTTTAAGTTCGAGGAGTGCAGAGGCAGAACAGGATGAATGGCAATTGGAAAATTGGAAAGAATGAGTGTGTGTGGCGGGGGTGGGGGGGGGAAAGGGGGATTTGAGTGATGGGGGGAGACGGATGTTTGGTTGGTACAAGGGTATGCACGGAAGTCAGAGCAGAGGGCTGCAGAATGGCAGAAGGTGAACAGGAGCAGCTGGGTTGGAGGTGTGTGACTGACGCAGGGAGGAGAGCACCACAGGTGCCCCCTGTGGCAGGCCCTTGCCGACGGCAAAGCGCAGCAGGGAGAGGGCGAGGCGAGGCACGAGAGGGGAGAGTGCTGCACGCGGCAGCTGGCGCAGCATGGCCAGCAGCACATCCGCCGCCGCCTGCGATGTTGCACTGTGGCGTTCAGGGGACACCAGGGAGGGAAGGGATGGGAGATACGCACGTGAGGGACGAGATGGCAGCATAGATCATCACTGGCATGGATACATCACTGGCATGCATACATCACTGGCATGGATACATCACTGGCATGGATACATCACTGGCATGGATACATCACTGGCATGCATACAACACTGGCATGGATACATCACTGGCATGGATACATCACTGGCACGCATACATCACTGCCACACATACATCACTGGCATGCATACATCACTGGCACGCATACATCACTGGCACGCATACGTCACTGGCATGCATACATCACTGGCATGCATACATCACTGGCATGCATACATCACTGGCATGCATACATCACTGGCATGCGTACATCACTGGCATGCGTACATCACTGGCATGCGTACATCACTGGCATGCGTACATCACTGGCATGCGTACATCACTGGCATGCGTACATCACTGGCATGCGTACATCACTGGCATGCGTACATCACTGGCATGCGTACATCACTGGCATGCGTACATCACTGGCATGCGTACATCACTGGCATGCGTACATCACTGGCATGCGTACATCTTGGGCAGCAGTGTGTCAGCCAGCAGGTTGAGAATCTTGGCCGTGTTGAACTTGTGTGCCGCCGTGCTCAGCACATCCACAAAGTGCCTGCAGCGTACCCATGGGCGTTGAGGAGGCACAGCGAGGGAGAGCGGCTTCTGAGGGCAGGAAGGATGAAGAGCACTTGACTGGAGCATAGTGGGCCACAGCACGGGCCAAGGGGTGCAGGCAGGGGTGGAGTTGGCACAGCACATGATATTGGGGAGTACAGGAAGCGGCCACTATAAGAAAAGCGGGGGAACCAATCCGTTCGAACCCATGCAAACCCATCCCATTTGAACCAACCTGTCCTATCTGATTCATGCACTGCAATGATGACCCCATCCTCATCCCTCCTTCCCATGCCTGGCACAAAATTTTATGTCATCAAATGCCATTCCACGCACGGCATGACACTCGCGCCATTGGATTGGACGTACTTGTCTGTGAGAATGTTGGTGACTGCCCTGGATGGGAGAGACAGGATTCGTTGGGTCTGTCAGAGACACACGGAAGAACAGAGGACGAGACAGCAGACGGAGCGATTTGCAGGATAGGCTACACGAATGAATGAGGTTGTTGAATAAGTCGAGCAGACTGAGACAAGAGCCCCCATGGGATGAGATGAGGGGCACAGGAGAGGGGATGGGAGAGAAGATGAGCGAGGGCACTGACCGCAGAGAGGTGCACGACCACGAGGAAGGCGTCCATGGAGATGGCGGTCGGTGGTGCTCTCATGCCGCGCGCAGTGGGGGCAGCACAGGCAGCGGCAGCGGTGGGAGAGAGGAGGGCGACGAGGAGGGAGTTGACGACCTGCGTGGAGAGCTGCGAGCGGTTGGCCAGCTGCGACACCAGCATCATGGCCGCCAGCTGATGGGGGGGGGACAGGTGGGTGGGCAGCGGGGTAGGAAGTCATACGGAGGAGAGGAATGGACTGAATAGCTGCCACACCATGCATTTTATGCTGAGCTGAGCTGGCGCACGAGACTTGGCATTCTGGGTTGAGAGCAGCATGGCATGGTGGGGAGAGGAGGTGCACAGTGAGGGGGGACAGAGGCAGCAGGAATACCCTGTGCTCATGCACGGCGGAGGGCTGAAGGCCGTTGAGGATGAAGGGCAGCAGGTGGGAGAGTGCGTCCACGGACACGCGCATGGCAGCCAGCGCCTCCAGCAGCAGCACGCTCGTGAAGGTCAGCAGCCGCATGGCGGGCGCTGCAGGCGCCGTGGGGGGAGACGCGGATGCAGGGCTGTCCCGGACCACACAGGTAGCCGCCTTCTCCGCCTGACGGGGGCGAGTGAATGGCGCACAAGGGAGGGAGCAGGCTTGAGTACAAGGAACGATGATTGGCTTTACGATGATGAAGGTGAGTGTGATAGGGTGATTATGTTATGAGGAGCAGAGTGTGAGGGGAAAACGAGAGGGTCGAGCGTCACGGAGTGAAAGCAACAGCAAGCACATGGGGCATGACACATGGCATGGGAGGAGTCATATTGCATGGCACATGGCATGGAGGGAGTCATACCGCATGGCACATGGCATGGAGGGAGGCATACCGCATGGCACATGGCATGGAAGAAGGAGTCATCCTTGACGCATCTCTGCACGAGCTGCGCCCTCGGGATTGCCGCGCCATTGGCCTTGCAGCCGTGCAGCACTGGCGCCCACTTGGAATGCCTGCCGCAGCGGAAGGAAGGGGGCAGACGTTGTGAAGGTGTGGGGGGCGGCAGCTGTTTCTGGCTGCTGTCATGTCCATGCATGTGCACAGCGAACGAGCATAGCGAGCCAATCATCTGTAGGCCTGCCATTCCGGACGGCATTGGCTGCATGGGCCTGGTCAGTGGATTCGTGGAGCACGAGAGCAGCGGGCGTGATGCGGCTTACTTGAGGGGTAGCAGCGGGCGTGATGCGGCTTACTTGAGGGAGAGCAGCGGGCGTGATGCGGCTTACTTGAGGGAGAGCAGCGGGTGTGATGCGGCTTACTTGAGGGAGAGCAGCGGGTGTGATGCGGCTTACTTGAGGGAGAGCAGCGGGTGTGATGCGGCTTACTTGAGGGAGAGCAGCTGCACGATGCGCACGAAGAGGCTCGTCTCGTGGTACGGCAGCGCCGCCAGCACCAGCGAGTCCACGTTGCACTGCTGCACCCTGCGCGCACCCACACCACAGCGCGTGCGTGGGGAAATGGGAGCGGAGAAGGGAAGGTTTAGAGGAGAGGAGAAGTCAGAGGTGTGCGTAAAGATGGAAAGACAGAGGTATCTGGGGAAAGGTGCAACGGATAGGGCTTGGATGCGCGCACCGGTACTTGCGGATGAGGTATTCGAGCGGCTTGTGGCTGGCGGGCAGCAGCAGCGCGTCGGAGAGCAGCATGAGGAACGCGTCGATCGACCGGTCCAGCGCCGCCACCACGTCGGGCGGCTCGTCGTCGCGATCCGTCTGCAGGGTGGCGGGCGAGAAGAGCGTGCTGAGAAACGGCTTGAAGCGCGCGTCCATCGCCACCAGCTCCGCCAGACCTGCACGCGCGCACGGTGAGACGGGTTGGGCGCAACGGGTGAAGGATATTGGCGTGACAGAGGAGTACGGGGTTCGGAGCCGCGAGGGCAGGCGTGTCGTGTCAGTGTAGAGCACGGGCATCGAGATCTAGGGGCCCGCGAGACTACGCAATTGACGCTAACAGATTAGGAAAAAGGTATGACGATTTTGCGCCAACCTGCTTGCGCCATGTGTAAGATGGTTTCCGCGTCCACGTCAGCGGCTTCCTTTGCCTCGAAAATAAGGGACGGCCTAATGTGCGCCCCGCGTTTGCCGCTCGACTTGGTGACGACATCAGCTGCAGTTGGGCCCGTCGAGAGGGCGATTTGCCGCAGCTGTCGCGACAGCGCCGTTCCCGCCATGCTGAATGGCAGTTATCGCACTCTAGGCACGATGCGGCTATCGTATGCAACGGACAGACTCGACCTAGAACTCGCAGACACCGAGGAAGCTGAGCCCTTGCAGAGTTTTCAAGGTTTTGGGGCCAGCGGGTTTGGGGATAGGTCTGGCCTAGGAGTCGCAGCAAGGGCTGCGATGGGACCGCGAAATCCGAAGTGTCGTCATTTCGTCCTCGATATAACACCTGACGATCATCGCTTGTAGACACAACAGAGTGAATTCGGAACTAGCCACCCATCCCGTGTCGAGTCACTCTTTGCCGAATTGGCGGCGTTACAGTGCCAAGGCTAGGAGCAGGTTCTTCCTGCCCTTCGTTCCGATTGGTTTGGCCCGCTGTTTGGTTCGTCAGACACAAACAGCAACAGACCAACCTCGGAATCTGTTGAAGCAGAGCAGTGACGGGCACACACTTCCAACACCAGCCATCCTTCATCGCACTGCCCGCGCTGCGACTCTCCTACTTCCGTCACGGCGTCCTATGGAGCGGCGCCTCACCTTGAGCGACTAGCGCGTGCAGTCGCTCGGTTCGCGGGTCGATCGCGCTATGGGAGAAAGATCCAAGCCGTACAATTCTGCGATCTGGCGTTAATTCATTCCTCACGACCCTGTGTCGCGTCACTTAGCCGCGTTCGTCCCTCTTATTCGAATTACTCTGAACCGTACGATCTGGAGCTTCATTCTACCTCGCGTCGAGAATCCATTCGTGTAATGACGAATTCCACATCGTAGCTGTTCCTGTTCGCCGTCATGTCGACCAATGATAGCCAAGAGCTGCTCTCGCCGCGAATTGCCAAAAGCGATGCCTTCCAGGCTGACTCGATCACGGCCGTCTCGCCAAAAGCGGAATCGAGTCGGCTTATAGCGAATGGAGACGACGTCATTGTGCCGGCAGACGAGCTGGAGGATGATCTTGCTGAGTCAGCATCGGCGTTTGGTGGGCGCGTGTCGGCATGGTGCGAGCCGTGGCTGTGGTCGGTGGTTAAGGTGCTGCTGCTCGTGCTGCTCTGGTACACCTTCAGCATGGCGCTCTCCCTGTAAGCATGGCGCTCTCCCTGTAAGCATGGCGCTCTCCCTGTAAGCATGGCGCTCTCCCTGTAAGCATGGCGCTCTCCCTGTAAGCATGGCGCTCTCCCTGTAAGCATGCCGCTCTCCCTGTAAGCATGGCGCTCTCCCTGTAAGCATGGCGCTCTCCCTGTAAGCATGGCGCTCTCCCTGTAAGCATGGCGCTCTCCCTGTAAGCATGGCGCTCTCCCTGTAAGCATGGCGCTCTCCCTGTAAGCATGGCGCTCTCCCTGTAAGCATGGCGCTCTCCCTGTAAGCATGCCGCTCTCCTTGTAGCTGCCGCTCTCCTTGTAGCTGCCGCTCTCTCTGGGCGACCATTTTTTCCCTGGGCTGGTCCTTGTACCTATTCCGTCCCTTTCGGCCTTATTGCCCCTTGTCAGGAACCTTTCATTGCCCTTAACTGTACCCATGCACTCCCGCCATGCCATGCACTCCCGCCATGCCATGCCCCCTGCACTGTGCACGGGCGGGGCAATGGTGCGTGGGCAGGTACAACAAGGTGCTCATCGGCGAGAAGCACGGGCGCTTTCCCGCGCCGCTGCTCATGACCACCTTCCACTTCCTGCTGCAGGGCGGCATCGCCTCGCTGCTGCTGCGCTGCTGCTGCCAGTCGTGGCTGCCCGCCACCCCCATCTCCTGGCGCGACTACTTCCTGCGAGGTAAGCCCTTTGGCGAGAGGAGGCGGGTATGCTGGAAGAGGGGAGGGGGTTGGCCGCACGTTCTGAAACTTGTCCATCGAGGGTGCTTCAGGTGACTGTCTGACCAGTCCTTGTGCACAATTCACCGTGTGTCGGCCTGTGCCCCGTGTGCTGTGTGCTGTGTGTCGTCCACGTGCATGCAGTGGTGCCCACAGCAGTGGCCACATCGCTTGACATCGCCCTCTCCAACCTCTCTCTCGCGCTCATCACCCTCACCTTCTACACCATGGTACGCCTTCCTGCCCGTTTCCCCCCTCTCCTCTGAGCCAGATCTCATCCGCTTCATTCACTGCAGTCTTTTCAGACAAATGTATCCACTTATGTGGTCGTTTCACAGAAAAAAACAAATCTGGCATTCTTATTTCGCTGCTTTCTACGAAGCACCTTGTGATGCATATAGAATAATAATTGACTCGTACATCACAAGTGGCATAAACCTTCACCCCTTTACTAACCCTCTCTCCTGCCTGCACATATTGCAGTGCAAGTCCAGCGCGCCTGTTTTCCTCCTCCTCTTCGCCTTCCTCTTCCGGTGAGCCACCACACATGACCACCTTTCCACCACACATGACCACCTTTCCACCACACATGACCGCCTTTCCACCACACATGACCGCTTTTCCACCACACATGACCACCTTTCCACCACACATGACCGCCTTTCCACCACACATGACCACCTTTCCACCACACATGACCGCCTTTCCACCACACATGACCACCTTTCCACCACACATGACCGCCTTTCCACCACACATGACCACCTTTCCACCACACATGACCGCCTTTCCACCACACATGACCACCTTTCCACCACACATGACCGCCTTTCCACCACACATGACCGCCTTTCCACCACACATGACCGCCTTTCCACCACACATGACCGCCTTTCCACCACACATGACCACCTTTCCACCACACATGACCACCTTTCCACCACACATGACCACCTTTCCACCACACATGACCACCTTTCCACCACACATGACCGCCTTTCCACCACACATGACTGTCATCCACCACACATGACTGTCATCCACCACACATGACTGTCATCCACCACACATGACCGTCATCCACCACACATAACCGCCATCTACGGCCGTACCCACGCACATGACACATTTCACTTCTTCGCCCTCGTTACCAGCAACGATTCAATTCTCCCCATCGTCATTACCATTGCCAGTACCACTTCAATTCTCCTCATTCTCAACACTACCCCACCTCTGCTCCCTCTCTCCCCCTCCCTCCCGCACTTCCTCTAACCCCCATGCCTTGTGAAGCCTAGAGACGCCAAGCTTCAAGCTGCTGGGCATCATGCTCGTCATCTCCGTCGGTGTGCTCTTCACAGGTGGGCGAGGGGGGGAGCAGGGGGGACGGGAGGGGGAGGAGGAGGGGGCTAGGAGGATGTTACAATTATCATCCAGCATTTGTCTTACCACACTTCAAAATTCCTCTTGTATCACAAAAAAGGCCCTCTACCCCAATTGGCATCACAAGGCCCTCTACCCCAATTGGCATCACAAGGCCCTCTACCCCAATTGGCATCACAAGGCCCTCTACCCCAATTGGCATCACAAGGCCCTCTACCCCAATTGGCATCTCAAGGCCCGATCCACGCTTCCAACATTCCGTGTGCCCATGGGTGGCTTGCAGTGGCGGGGGAGACGGAGTTTCAGCTGCTGGGCTTCATTCTGGTCATGGTGGCAGCATTTGTGTCGGGACTCAGATGGGTGCTGCTGCAAGTGCTCCTGCAGGTGCGCCGCTGCTGTCTTCTGCTCTGTGCTGCTGCTTTGCTGCTGCTCTGTACTGCTGCGTACTGGTTTGTGCTGCTGCTGAGTATGTAATCATCAACTGATCATTTTCTGAATTTGTGTCCTGTCTCCCCTTGCATGTTCCCAACATGTGCATTTTCAACCCATGGAATGTCAACTCACCATCTCCCCATCCCTTATTGCCGATTGCACTGGCGGCAGGGGGACAAACTTGGTAAGCATCCGTTGCCATGCCCCTTCCTCCTGTCCCACCTCAAGTTGTGCAGCCTCACAGTGCCTGTGTGCTCTGCTGTGCTTGCTCCTGCCACACGCCACAATCCTCCTCTTTCCCGCCATGCCACTATCTCCTTCCCAGTCCACCTCGTCCCCCTCAGCTCTCACCACCCCCTCTCTGCCCCCTCCCCTGCCAGGCCTCACCAACCCGCTGCTCACACTGGCCTATCTGGCGCCCGTGATGGCACTTGTGTGCGGCGTCTTCTCCCTGCTCCACGAGCCATGGTCCGCGCTCACGTCCTCGCCCTACTTTGACACGTGGCAGCACACCCTCTGGAGCTTCGCCATCATGCTCGTAGGCGGCATCCTCGCCTTCTGCATGGTGCGTGCATGCTTGTGCGTGCATGCGTACATGCATTCGTGTGTGTGTGCGCGTGCGTGTTTTTCTCTGTGTGTGTGTGTGTGTGTGTGTGTGTGCGCGCGTTTCTATATGTGTGTTCATGTGTGTGTGCATGTAGCAGCACCCTTGTAAACCACTGCCCCACGCCTACCTGCCCTTCCCCCCCTCGCCCCCACGCCCACAACCCCCACGTGGGTGGCTGGCGTGTGTGGATGGCACGGGGCACGGGGCCACGGGGCCGGGCGGCAGATCATGGCGGAGTTCCTGCTGGTGCTGGAGACGAGCGCCGTCACCTTCTCTGTGGCCGGCACCGTCAAGGAGGCCGCCACCATCCTTGTGAGCCACACGGGGGAGGGGGGGAGCAGTGATGCCAGTGAGAATGAGGAGAAAGGAAGCAGCGGTGTGCAAATGAGTGTTTCATGCAGTGCTCCAATGCACAGGTGGTGCACATGTGGTGCATAGATGGGTGCATGGGTGGGTGCATGGAATCATGCATCCACGCATGCATGTTATGGTGGCAGCCAAAAGTGCGAGTAAGAGCTCTGCATCCCCTCATCTCCGCCCATGTCCTTGCAGCGCCTTGCTCTCTCGCCCTCCCTATGCTCCTGCCATCCTGATGCTGAATCACTCGTGTGTGCTGCCATGCCTGTTTCTATGTGCATGCCTCTGCGTCCTCTGCCGTTGCGGTCCTCAGGTGTCGCATGCGGTGTTTGGCGACCGATTCACGCGCATCAACCTGGTGGGCATTCTCATCATCATGCTTGGTGTCTCCCTCTTCAACCTCTACAAGTGAGGCCCATGCTCCTCCACACACCACCCATGCCAACGCACAGCGCAGTCAGGCAGCAAGGCACAGTGCAGCAAGGCACAGTGCAGCAAGGCACAGTGCAGCAAGGCACATGTGCCTATGCCGGGTGCTGTGGCGGAGGCTGTGTCTCGTGTAGGCAGCTATAGATGGTACAAACTGCTGATTGTGTGTGGACGTGCATGTGTGCGTGCGTGCGTGCGTGTGTGTGTGTTTGTGTGTTTGTGTGTGGGTATGTGGGCTGTGTGGCAGGGTGTCACGCAACAAGGCACGTGAGTCTGACGGCCATCTGGTGCACACGCTCAGCGATGCACCCCTTCCTGACCACCCGGGCATGTCCTTGGAGCAACTGCAGCTGCTGCACCACCCGCCCTCGCCCTCCTCCTCCGCCCCCCGAGCATATCCTCTCTCTCCCGGCGGCACCCGGGACTCCACGCACGTGCTGCTGGCCACCAGCATGAGCCCTCGTGCCCACGCCCACACGCGCCTCACCTCCCCCCGCGCCCAGGGTAGCCCAGCGGGCAGTGCAGCATTTGAAATGGCTGGCAGCACCTCTGAATCAAGTGCGGTGACTCGTGCAGCTGACCATGCCAGTGCTCATGGCAGGGGAACGGGGCTGACAACCTATGATGCCGTTGAGATGGAAGTAACCTCCAAAGCGGAGAAGCAAGCGCAAGTGTAGAGTGATGTGGTAATGCAAGAGACCAGTACTTTGCAAGATTGCATTGATCAATTGAAGTCCACTTGTTTTCTCCTACTGCATCGAGGCCGCGTGGCAGAATCAGTGCTAATTTCACAACATTGCATGCAGTTGGGCGTGGCTGTTCCCTGAATCGTGGAGCCTAACTTCTGTGACGCAACTGAGCTATAAGCAATAAAGAACTCTACCTACGCTAGCGAGTAAAGAGGCAGCGGCTACGCGGGGGACTTGGAGCCTTCGAGCAGCTTGACGAGGTAGGCGCCGCCCATGTAGAGGCCGATGAGGGGCCCTGCCAGCAGGCACTGTGTGAGCGGGTCGGTGGAGGGCGTGAGCACGGCGGCGGCTGTGACTCCCCCCACCACCACGTAGCGCCAGATGCCCAGCATCTGATCTGCCGTCACCAGCCCCAGCTGCCCCAGCAGCAGCTGAATCACCGGCACCTGCCACACATGCAGGGGGGTTGCGGGGCCCGGCAGGGGGGGACATGGAGGGAGAAACAAGAAGTGATGGTGGGAATCTGGCATGTGTGATGTTGGAGGACGAGAGGGCATATGACTGTGTGGGAATGTGGGTGTGCAATGGTGGAGATGTGCAGATGCATGGTGGTGAGGATGCATGCATGTGGGATAAGAGGCGTTGGCCTGGGAGAGAAACTTGCCTGGAAGGAAGGGAACTTCCTTGGGAGGAAAAACTTCCCTCTGAGATGAGAAACTTGCCTGGAAGGAGAGAAGCTTGCATGGAAGGAGAGAAGCTTGCCTGGAAGGAGAGAAGCTTGCCTGGAAGGAGAGGAGCTTGCCTGGAAGGAGAGAAGCTTGCCTGGAAGGAGAGGAGCTTGCCTGGAAGGAGAGGAGCTTGCCTGGAAGGAGAGGAGCTTGCCTGGAAGGAGAGGAGCTTGCCTGGAAGGAGAGGAGCTTGCCTGGAAGGAGAGGAGCTTGCCTGGAAGGAGAGGAGCTTGCCTGGAAGGAGAGGAGCTTGCCTGGAAGGAGAGGAGCTTGCCTGGAAGGAGAGGAGCTTGCCTGGAAGGAGAGGAGCTTGCCTGGAAGGATAGGAGCTTGCCTGGAAGGAGAGGAGCTTGCCTGGAAGGAGAGGAGCTTGCCTGGAAGGAGAGGAGCTTGCCTGGAAGGAGAGGAGCTTGCCTGGAAGGAGAGGAGCTTGCCTGGAAGGAGAGGAGCTTGCCTGGAAGGAGAGGAGCTTGCCTGGAAGGATAGGAGCTTGCCTGGAAGGAGAGGAGCTTGCCTGGAAGGAGAGGAGCTTGCCTGGAAGGAGAGGAGCTAGCCTGGAAGGAGAGGAGCTTGCCTGGAAGGAGAGGAGCTTGCCTGGAAGGAGAGGAGCTTGCCTGGAAGGAGAGGAGCTTGCCTGGAAGGAGAGGAGCTTGCCTGGAAGGAGAGAAGCTTGCCTGGAAGGAGAGAAGCTTGCCTGGAAGGAGAGAAGCTTGCCTGGAAGGAGAGAAGCTTGCCTGGAAGGAGAGAAGCTTGCCTGGAAGGAGAGGAGCTTGCCTGGAAGGAGAGGAAGCTTGCCTGGAAGGAGAGGAGCTTGCCTGGAAGGAGAGGAGCTTGCCTGGAAGGAGAGGAGCTTGCCTGGAAGGAGAGGAGCTTGCCTGGAAGGAGAGGAGCTTGCCTGGAAGGAGAGGAGCTTGCCTGGAAGGAGAGGAGCTTGCCTGGAAGGAGAGGAGCTTGCCTGGAAGGAGAGGAGCTTGCCTGGAAGGAGAGGAGCTTGCCTGGAAGGAGAGGAGCTTGCCTGGAAGGAGAGGAGCTTGCCTGGAAGGAGAGGAGCTTGCCTGGAAGGAGAGGAGCTTGCCTGGAAGGAGAGGAGCTTGCCTGGAAGGAGAGGAGCTTGCCTGGAAGGAGAGGAGCTTGCCTGGAAGGAGAGGAGCTTGCCTGGAAGGAGAGGAGCTTGCCTGGAAGGAGAGGAGCTTGCCTGGAAGGAGAGGAGCTTGCCTGGAAGGAGAGGAGCTTGCCTGGAAGGAGAGGAGCTTGCCTGGAAGGAGAGGAGCTTGCCTGGAAGGAGAGGAGCTTGCCTGGAAGGAGAGGAGCTTGCCTGGAAGGAGAGGAGCTTGCCTGGAAGGAGAGGAGCTTGCCTGGAAGGAGAGGAGCTTGCCTGGAAGGATAGGAGCTTGCCTGGAAGGAGAGGAGCTTGCCTGGAAGGAGAGGAGCTTGCCTGGAAGGAGAGGAGCTAGCCTGGAAGGAGAGGAGCTTGCCTGGAAGGAGAGGAGCTTGCCTGGAAGGAGAGGAGCTTGCCTGGAAGGAGAGGAGCTTGCCTGGAAGGAGAGGAGCTTGCCTGGAAGGAGAGGAGCTTGCCTGGAAGGATAGGAACTTGCCTGGAAGGAGAGGAGCTTGCCTGGAGGGAGAGGAGCTTGCCTGGAAGGAGAGGAGCTTGCCTGGAAGGAGAGGAGCTTGCCTGGAAGGAGATGCCAGTGGAGAACATGAGGAGCAGCACGAACTCAAAGTACTGGTCGATGGACCACAGCGACTCCACCACGCCCTCGGCATACGAGATGAAGAAGTTGAGTGCGGCGGGCGTGAGCACGGAGTAGCTGAAGGCAATGCCCGAGTAGAAGAGCACGGACGACCCAAACACTATGGGCGCCAGGAACCGCCGCTCGCTGGCTGTCAGCCCCGGCACCACAAACGCTATCACCTCGTACAGAATCACCGGCCCGCCCAGCAGCAGCCCGCAGTACCCCGCCACCTGCCAGCCAGGGATGGGAGAGATGATACGGACGCACCGCATGGGGCATGGTATGGGGCATGGCGTGGGGCATGACATGGGTCACACCACAAGGAATGGCATGCGATGAATGCTGGCGTGTGTGGTGTGCTTGTGGTACTAAACGCGTCTACCTTGCGTCGCAAGGTGGCACTCACCTTGAGCGTGGTGAAGCGCCTCACTCACCTTGAGCGTGGTGAAGAAGTATTCCCCTGGCGAGAGCTGCAGGAAGCGCACGCCCTGGGCGTACACGGGGGCCTCGAGGAACACCACGAGGTCGCGGCTGAAGAAGAAGCAGAGCAGGATGGCGGCGCCCACGGCGCCCACGGACACCAGCACGCGCTCGCGCAGCTCCTCGAGGTGGTCCCAGATGCTCATGGGCACGTCGTCCGGCAGCTCGTCCTGCCCCGGGTTCAGCCACTTCTGAATCGGCGTCCGCTCCTCCTCGCCCATCTCCTGCAGCAGCGCCGGACTCACCCCTGCAACCCCCGTCAAGGGGCGCACGGAGCAGACACGCGGGGGAAACAGCACGTGGGGCGCATGGAACGTGAAAAGAGGGGAAAGGGCAAACAGCGGGAGTGTGATTGCGCCCTCCCCGTGCGCTAGCGTCAACGCCTCTACTGCGCGTCTCTTACGCGGACCACACGTGCCACCCCCACCTCACGGCCTACGACGCTGCGAGGCGATTCACGTGTACACCTGCCCACTCACAGTTATCTGGTCGCCTCTCGAGCGGTTGCGCCTCCACGGCTGTCAACGCCGTCGATGACTCTGCCCCCTCCGCCCCTGCCCCCTCCGCCCCGGCCCCCTCCGCCTCCCCCCCCTTCGCCGCGCCAACAGCCCACCGCCCTCTCCGCGTTTGCCGCATGGGCGAGAGGGCCAGCGGCAGAGGTGCGTGCCACGATTCACGCCATGCCAGCGACTGCGCGTTGCTTGGTTGCAGCCCTGGAGTTGCCGACACTCGCCATGCTCTTACACCTCTTTCGCTTAGTCGCACAGGCGATTGTGCGACTGTTGCAAGCGACAGGTGAGATCGCGTCGCTAGTCGGGCATCCATCGCCAGTCCCGACATCGTCGAACTGAGCGACAGCGACGAAGATGCGGTGCGCTAAGGCAGGCGCGGAATGCGGCGAGGGGCAAGTGGGACGGGGTGAAGGCACTGAAGGAGTGTGTTCGGAATCAGGGTGGGAGCAACTGAGTGCGTGGCGAAGAGTTGGGAGCGACAGCAGGGCGGTTCACGAAACACGATAACGCGCGGGGTGATGGCGACGAGGGCACTGCGGGTGGACCAACTGCGTAGCGCCAAGTCGACACCCACGAAATTCTTTCGCGGAGATGTTGAGGTGCGAGCGACAACTTCCTGACTAAAACCCGAATCTGCCTACTGGTACACCATTATATCTAGTGGACAACACTACAAAAACATACATCAAGCACCCACTTGCTTTTAAACAGCTTGGGCTCCCAAATGCTATTTCTTCTCAATAATGCTTGAATGCTTGCACCGTGCCTCCCACAGGACTCAACGGCCCTGATGCTCCTCCGGGTCCCTTGAAGTTGGGAGATGTGAGCTTCGCCATGCTCGCATGTGCTCCCTGCTCCAACCCGCCAGCCTGTGCTGCGTGTGCTGCTGCAGCAGCAGCAGTGTGGCCATGGGGGGCGTTGGAGCCGGGGGCAGCAGCAGCAGAGGGCAAGGCGTGAGCCTCGTTGGCTGCGATGGCTGCAGAGCGGCGAACCTGGGAGGTGAGGGTGAGCAGCATGCCATGCCATGATGGGCAGGATGAGGCACGTCGGTACAGTTAGTGACACTGTGATCGGGGCAGCACAGTTCGGTTCTTGATACCAATACAATTATGCGCCGGAAAGACATGTGGTGACAGATGGGTATGGTGACAGATGGGTATGCAGCAAGAGATGCAGCAGAGGAGCAACACAGCGAGAAGGCACTCACTGCTGCGAGGCGTTGGCGATGCGCCTCCGTGACAGGCTGCACAGAGCGAGATGGAGGGCACGGCCCGGCGAGCACAGCCGCAAGGAAGGGTGCAGATGAAGACGGAGAGCATGTGAGGTCCTGGTGCCGCATCACAAGCACACCGTACCATGCCCCATCACTGCCCAAGCCATATACATCGCACCCGGAAAGCAATCTGAACGTCACCATACGTGCAACACACAGCAAGAGCACTGAGAGGGCGAAGCAAGAGCAGTGAGAGGGTGCAGGAAGAGAACTGACAGGGCGCTTGTAGACGCGGTAATCGTCCCCCGTGAAGCCAGGGATGCGCATGTGCCAGCTGCGCTCTGCCACACACACGCAACACACAGGCAGCAGTGGGTGGCAGCACGGCACGGCACGGCATGGAGGTAACGAAGGACACAGCGGAGGGTGCGGGTGGCGCAAAAGAAACGAGCAGAGTGGAAAGGCAGGGTGGTGGAGGGCGGCAAGTGGGCGCACCGAGGTGCAGCAGGACGTCCTTGGCCTCCAACACCTGCGCCTTGCGATGCCTCGCCAGCTGACACCCAAACGCCGTCACCTGCCCTCACACAGACACGGCACGCACACATGCCATCCATGCACACATGCCATCCATGCAATGCAAGCATGATTAGATGTAGGGATTGCATTGCATCCAATCACATGGAACATAGGCATCGGAACAGCCAACAATATGAGGGAGTGCCAAGTAGGTGGCGGGCTTGCGAGTGCAGTGGGTGCGTGGGAAGTGGGGTGGGCAGGGGGCAGTGGATGGTACGGATTGGATGAAGTCGTCGGCGAGGTCCAGCAGCACCTCCTCCACCTCGGGCTCCAGCTGCATGCGCGCATCCACCTGCCCACCCCACCACATGCCACATGCCCCATGCCACATCCCATGTCGTATGCCATAGCATGCCATAATAATTTCAGGGGACTGAGTCAAGAAGTAAGCTTTGGGCATGGTGGGTATGCGGGCAGGAGCACTCAGCCACTAATCTGCACATCCCTGACCCACCCGCTGCCCACCTGCTTTGCCAGTTCTTGCAAAGTCCTCTTTCCCAAAAGCTTCTTTCCCTCCACATTGGCGTGAGCAGCATCACCTGCACCAGTTGCAGCCTCCCCCGAGCCGCTGCCTGCAGCAGCAGCACCTGGTCGCCCTGGCACCCTGCCAGACGCCTGCTGTGCTGCCTGTGCCGCCTTCGCCTGTTGTTGCTGCTGCTGCTGATGTTGCTGCTGTTGTTGTTGTTGCTGCTGTTGTTGCTGTTTCTGGTGCTGCTGCTGCTGTTGCTTTAGTTGCTGTTGTTTCTGCTGCTGCTGCAGCTGGTGGTGATGCGGAGAGGGGGCGAAGTGCTGCTGCTTGCCCTGGGTGGGCGACAAGGGAGACATGCCTCCCACCGGCCCATGCTGCCCGTGCTGCTGTGGGATGGGCGGCAGGGGGTGCAAGAGGAGATGAAGGAGTGGGAAGGACGACGTGCAACGCGGACAGGACAGGGAGGGCAAGAAGCAGGGAGTAAGAGCGTCAGGGAGGGAGTGGACGGAAGTAAAACGGGAAAAAGGATGGGGGGGGCGTGGAGGCACAGGGAGAAGGCGAGCGTAAAAGGAAAGGGAGATGAGAGTAGGGATGCACGAGATGGGGAGGCGGGCACGCAGCGGTCTGTGAGCATCCGCCTTTGGGGGCGCCCTTGTGGCCTTGCCTCGCTGCCATGCCATGCCACCCACGCCATGCCTCGCACAACCATGCACATCTCATCGCACCACATTGCACCACATCACACCACACCGCACCTGTGCGCCTGCCTGTCCCCTGGCTCCATATCCCATGCCGCTTGACCCCACCACCCCCCTCCCATGCTGCTCTGCCTGCTCCGTTCCCCCCTGCCCTCCGCTTCCCCCAACCTGCTGCATTCCGCCCCGCGCGCCTCCCCCTGGGCTGGCGCTGTAGCCTTGCTGCTGCAGGTGCGGCGCAGAGGGGGAATAGGAGGCTCCGCCAGGCGACGCGGATTGCGCCTGTGAGGGGTATTGGGGGGCGGCTGAGGAGGGGGAGAAGTGCGACGACATGGTGGGGGCGGACTGGGGGCCGCGCATGTTGCCAGGGAGGTGCAGGGAGGAGGGCAGGGCGGGCAGCGAAGCAGAGGAGCTTGGGGAAGCGCCGGCCTTCCCCATATTTGGCGGCATGGCGGAGGGGGAAGGCGCACCTTGCGAAGAGGCGTTAGGGTTGTTGGCAAGCGCAGACGAGCGCAGCTGCGCGCTCGCCGTGGGGCTCATCATTCCCCCCATTGCGCCACCTGCCAGTCCGCCCGGCGCGTTAGCGGCAAGTGCGTAAGGGGGAGCGACGCGCGACATGGGGTAGGAGCCGGGCTGCGAGGGGGAGGGCGTGGAGGGCAAGGGGGAGGCGGCGGTGGCCCCTGGTGGAGGCATGAGGGCCGACGGCGAGGAGTGCAGCGCGTGGGTGGCGGGGGAGGCAACGTCGGCGTGCGGCAGGTGGGTGGGCATCGCGACGAGAGCGCGCGCTCGGAGAGGCGATAGTCGCGAGAGCGGCGGCGAGGTCAACGCGGAGAGCGGGTCGACGCGAAGGATGGCGGTGAAGGCGAGGCGACACGGACACGTGGCCTCACGACACGAGGACTCGCGAGCCTCGGTGAACACAGCAACGGCTGGCTTGCGACAACGAATGGATGGAGCGACTGGTGGGTGCGACGGGTAGGTAAGGTAGGACGACGACAGTGAGTAGAATCCACGAGGCACGTGCTATGACGGTGAGGTGAGACTCTCGGAGCAGCGCGAGGCGGAGATATGAGTGAAAGTGCGAGAGAGATGGTGGGGTGAACGGACACAGCTTGGGGCAGGAGGTTGTGGGCTATCCGTGCCTACACTATTCTTTTGTCACAGAGGCGTGTAGAGAGGTTGACTTGTATTTCAATATCGAGTATGAGCACCAATCACTGGAGCATGTATGCTTTAGGGTTTGAACCCGAATGACAGAAAGCTGATCCTCGCTTCAATTTGAGGCGACTCACGAACGAAACTCGCATAGCGGCTCCTCGCCAGAAGAATGCATAGAGCACCACTTCCCGTCACACATTAGATTCGCGCGTGACGTTCGTCTTCAGGCACCGCGCGCAACCGCCGTTGCTTTAGACTGGGCGCTCCCACCCCATGCCGTCGCGCATGCTGATTGCACTGTTCCACCTGTGAGGCACGCAGCTGGTAGCTGGTAGGTGACCCGAGCGAGCGGCATCATGGACAGGGCAGAATCGGGAGGCGCGGAAGGGGACGACGACGTGGGCAGTCCGGGGAGGGCGGAGGAGCCGACAGCGGTGGAGGTGGGGAAGCGGTGGGAGCGCATGGGGGCGGAGATGCGCAAGGCGGTGGCGCAGCTGGACAAGGCGGAGCCCGCCGCCGTGATCGACGGACTGCAGCGCCTGCACGCGCGCATCGTGAAGCACGGCGCGCGGGCCGTCGACGCGTACGTGCGCGTGTCGCCGCCGGACTGGCTGCAGCTGCTCCGCCTGTGGGACGCCTGCCACCGCCGCGGCGCCTCGCACCAGGTGGGCCCGCCGCCCATTCCGCTCCCCGCGTCGCTGCGCACTCAAGCTGCAAGGCCCTGATCACGCGCTGCTGAACCCCCAACCTGTAATCCCGCTCGTAAACCCTGCGCCCAGAACCTCTTTCACCTCCCCCGGCTTTCGTGCCCTCACTCACAGTGTCCCTCTCTCCTTCCTCCTCGCGTCCCCCGTCGCGCCCGTGCGCAGATGGCCGTGCCGCTGATGGCGGTGCTGGCGGACATCCTCGCCCTCGCCGCGCACACGCCGCGCCCTCTCCCCCACACACCCGCGCGCGCCCCTCCCTCCGTCCCTCCGCCCGTGCTGGGCGCGCCTCTGTCCCTCCCCCGCCGCATAGAGGCGCTGGCGCGCGCCCTGCTGCCGCGGTGCTGCAGGAAGGGCGGCCTCTACGCGCACCTCTCCTCCCCTTCCCACGTGCACGCCACCTCCGCCCTGCGCCTGCTGCTCGCGCTCTCCCTCATCTCCCCTGCCCTCACGCGCTACCTCCTCCTCTCCTTCGACTTCTCCCTCCCCGCCCTCCCCGCCCTCACCCAGCCCCCCGCGCCCTCCCAGGCGCCGGGCAGCGGGGGGAGAGGGAGAGGCGAGAGAGGGAAGCATGTGGGCGCACAAGGGGGGGCAGCAGGCGCCTTGTTCTGGTCTGGCACACCAGCGGTGGTCGTGGGGGGCGAGCAGGGGGAGCAGGCGGAGCAGGCGGAGCAGGGGGAGCAGGGGGAGGAGGGGGAGGAGGGGGTCGAGGGGGCGGTAGGGGTATTGATGGGCAAGCAAGGGGCGGGGGCGTGCGCGGACGTGGGGGAGGTGCCAGCGCGCGTGCTGATGGCGGAGTGGGTGGTGGCGTGCCTGGCTGTGGCGGACGCCGCCACTCTCACCCACGCCATCGTGCAGCACAGACACAACCTGGCCGGCATTCTCTGGCGCCTAGCGGGCGACCACCCCGTGACAGCTGGCAAGGTGTTGTGGGTGCTGCAGACGCGGGTCATGGCGGCCAGTAGCAATGTGCCACGCGGCCTGCAGGGAGCTCTGTTCGGGGATAGTGCGCTGGAGCAGATGGCGCGTGTGGCGGGAAGGGAGGAGGGGGGTGGTGCGGGGGCGGTGGCAGCAGGGATGGCGCTGCAGGTGCTCCTGGCCGTGTGCATGCACCCCCGCCATGGCGTGCTCGTGGGGGGGGGGTGGGGGGGGCGCGCTGCAGGGGAGACCACAGGAGGGGATGGATGAAGGGGAGGAGGGGGAGGAAATTGTGGAGGAAGGGATGGGAGGAGGGGGCAAGGAAGGGCAGGGGGGAGCGGCGGACACGGAGGGTGCTGGAGGGGTGTCGGAGGGGGAGTCGGGCAAGGGCGGATCGGCCTCCGCCGCTGCTGATTCCCAAGCCTCCTCTCATTGGTCGGCCGGCATGGATCGTCTCATTCGCCTCGCGCGTGGGCTGCATGTGCTGCAGTGTGCGGCGCACCGCTCGCTGCTGCTGGCCATGGCCCAGGCGTGTCCCCCTCTGGCTGCCGCCTACCTGCAGCGCCCTCCCTTCTCCCTGCACCCCACGCCGCACGCCCACTGGTACGACGCTGCCATGTGCCTTGCTTCACTCCAAACACCTTGTTGCACTGATCGTTGTTTCCACTTCTCATCTGCTTCCTCTCATCTGCCTCCTCTCAACTTCTTCCTTCTCCTCGCCCCTCTTCTCTCTCAATCTCCATCATCCCGTCATCCAAATCGCCTTGTCAAATGCCCCCTCCACTGCTCGCCCCACACCCGCCCATGCCGCACCCCCCCTCCCCCAGGTTCGCGGGCATGGCCCTGGTGAGCCGCCTCGTGCGCGTCTGCGCCACAATGCCCCTCCTCTCCGCCTCCGCGCCCTTCTCCCTGCGCCTCCCCTCGCCCAACGTCTCCCCCCTCCTAGCCCGCATGCTCCCCCCGTGCCTGCCGCGCCCCGCCCTCACGCGCGCCCTGCTGCACCGCTCGCCCCGTGTGCGCCTGCTGGCGCTCTGCACGCTGCTCGACTGCCTCTCCGCCACCCTGCCCCTCCTCGCCCTCGCGCTCCCCCTCGCCGCCACGCACGCCGGCGCGGGTGCAGCGGGAGAGGCAGGTGAGGCAGGCGAGGGAGGGTTGTGGTGGGCGAGAGGGAATGAGGGTGGGGATGGGGGGGAGAGGAGGAGCGAGGGGAATGTGGAGGCGGTGGAGGAGCGGCAAGTGGCGGGCAGGTATTGGAGCGCGGTGGTGGCGGGGGTGCGGCTGCACGTGGTGGGCGCCGTGCCCGACGTGCAGATCGTGCTGGGCGTGCTGGCTGCCTCCCAGCCCAGCAGCGGCGCGGGGGGCGTGGATGAGGGCGGACACATGGCCTCGCGAGGGGGGGCAGTGTGTGGGGTGAGGCGGGCAGGGGGCGCAGGGGAGGGCGGCAGGCGGAAGAGAGGGCGGGGTGCAGCAGGTGAGTGGCAGGTGATGGAGGAAGGGGGGGGTGAGGGGGAGGAGGGGAAGGAGGAGGAGGGAGAGGGAGAGATGGGAGAAGAAGAGGAAGAGGTGGAGGAAGTGGAGGGGGAGGAGGTGGGGATGGATGATGAGATGGATGACGAGGAGGAGGGAGGGCGCTGGTCGGTTCGCCTGCTGTTGCACTGCAAGGCTCTGCGCCTCCTCGCTCTCTACCAGGTACTCCTTGCTCTCTACCAGGTACTCCTCGCTCTCTACCAGGTCCTCCTCGCTCTCTACCAGGTCCTTCTCGCTCTCTACCAGGTCCTCCTCGCTCTCTACCAGGTCCTCCTCGCTCTCTACCAGGTACTTCTCGCTCTCTACCAGGTCCTCCTCGCTCTCTACCAGGTACTCCTCGCTCTCTACCAATCAAACTGTGTCTTGCCTCGTGTGCACCTACTGCTTCACTTTTCATCATGCCCGCTTCCCCCGTTCTCCTCGCCTGCTGCATGCAGAGGGTGGTGCCGGCTGCCGTGGCTGCCTGCCACGTGGATCCGCTGCGCTTCCTGCGCGCCGACCTGCCCTCGCTGCCCTCCCCCTTGCTGCGAGCCACTCTGTGCCTCCTCCTTGCCTTCTTCCCGCCGCCTTCTCAACACACCCTTGCATTCCCCGGGGCTGGGACTGGAGGGGCGCACAGCACGCCGGCACTGCCTGCACCGGCCGAAGCGGCGCCCGCGGGGGGCGAGTTCCTCTGCACCTGCCCGCTGCACAACCATCTGCTGCCGCTGCTGTTGCTGCGCCTCTCCCCGCGGCCCGCCGACCTCGCACCTGACGTTGACTGGCTCTGCACCGCTGCCATGCTCTCCTCGCATGCCTTCCGTGCCCGCCAATCAGAGGCTGCCATGTGGCTGCGCTTCCTGCCCACCATGGCACCTGGCAGTGCTTGCAGCAGTGCGGCGGCAGCACGAGGGGTGGCGGCGTTTCTGGCGGATGCCGTGGCGTGTGTGGCCCGCGCGCCTCTCAAGTACCTCCTCGCCCTCCCTGCCGCCTCACCACCCCCCGCCCATGCATCCCACTGCCCCTCCTGCCGTGCCCGGGGCCACACCCCCATGGCCTCTTTGGGTCCCTTCCCTGCCTGCATTCTCACCAACTGCCTCAAAGTGCTGCATGCCACCTCCCCCTCCTCCTCCTCTTCCTCCTCCTCCTCCTCCTCCTCCTCCTCATCTCCGCCAGTGCAGCTTGCCATCGCCACCTTCACCTGCAACGCCCTGACCCACCTCATCTCCCTTCAGGTGCCTCACCGCTTGCCCCTTTCCTTGTTTTTTCTCCGCTGCTCGATTCTCCACTATCTGCTCAACTCAACCCAGTCTGTTTGTCTTTTCCCCACTTCCCAACTTTCTTCCACCCCCTACATCCTTGTAATGCCCGCTCAAACCAGCGTACGCCGCTGTTGCATCCACACACTCATGCCTGCACCTGTACTGTTCGCCTTTTCCTGCCCGCCTCTTCTCTTCTCTTTGCCTTGGCTATCAACAGGAATGCCCTCTCCCACTCGCTGCTCTCATCACTCACATCCTCCGCCCTGCCCTGTCCTCCTCCTCCTCCTCCACCTCCTCCTCCTCCGCCTCGTCCTCCCCCGCGCCACATGGTCGCCCCCCCCTCTCTGCGCCGCTGCTCTGCCTGCAAGCGCTGCTAGAGTCGGCCGCCTCGCTGCTTCCTGTGCCGCCTGAGGAGCAGCAGGGGGGGGGGAAGAGGCCGCACAGTGCGGCTGGGGCGGGTGCTCACAGCTGCGACGCCTGTGATGCTGGTGGGCGCGCAGCAGTGGAGGCAGCAGTGGGGGCGGCAGAGGCGAGCCTGCAAGCGGAGCAAGCGAGTGGCAGGGATGCTGCCCTCTCACACTTCACTCTCTCCCTCTCCTCGGCCCACCCACCCTCGCTCATCGCCCTCCTTCCTCGCCTCGCCTCGCTTGCTGCCTCCCTTCCTCCACCCGCCATGCATCTTCTCTCCTCCACTCTCTGTGCACACGCTCTCCTCCCCTCGCTGCTGCCAGTGCACGCGCCTGTGCTGCTGGAAGCGATTGTGCTGGCGCAGCAAGCACTGCAGCCTGCCGCCACCTGCCACCACCACCACATGCCCCCCGCAGTGGCCTCACCACTGCCTCTCTTCCTCCCCCCCATGCCCTCTTCTCCCCACCCCTCCACGACTGCTCTCTCCCACCTCCTCCTCTCCTTGCCCTGCGCGCCTCTGCTCTCCCTGTGCGTGCCCGCCCTGCTCTCGCCTCTCAAGCTCCACCGCCGCCTCGCCTCCTGCCTTGCTGCGCTGCTGCTGGCCCGCCTGCGCCTGCTATCGCCCCATGTGCTGCAAGAGAGGGCCGCAGGGGCAAGCCACGCCCGCCCAGGCGAGGGAATTCTGTGGGGGGAGAGGAGGGGGGAGGTGGGGAGGGCTGTTGTGTTTGAACTGGGGCGAGTACTAGGCGTGGGTATGGGGGGGCCCCAGCAGGTGGGGGGGGCGGAATGGAGGCGGCGGCAGCGGTGTGTGCGTGTGTGCATGGCGGCACTGGAGGCCACCCTCATGCCACCACCGCTGCCCTCGCCCTCCCACCCCATGCACGCTGCCAGCGCATGGAATGGGGGGGGGGGCGAGCAGGGGCAGCAGGGCGGCGAGGAGGATGGGAGTGCGTGTGAGTTCATGGTGCAGGCAGCTGACGTCATGTCACACCCTCTGCTCCTCGCAGCATTCACAGGCCACCTCGATGACGTCACCGCCTGGCCCTCTGCACACCTCTCCTCCCTCCTCACCTTCCTCCGCCTGTCCATCTCGCGCCTCCTCCTCCGCCTCCTCTCCTTCTCCCATGCCCTCTACCACTCTCTCCCCGACTCGCCTTCGCCCGCCCCCCCACCAGCCCAGGGCGCCCTTCTCCTGTGGCAGGCCTGCCAGCCATTCCTCTGCGCCGCCCACCACTCCCTTGCTGCCTCCCTCGCGCCCTTCCTCCCTTACTCCCCGTCTCCCCCTGCGTGCCCCTCGCCTGTGCGCACTGCCTCGCATGCGGTGGTGCTGGTGGCGCCAGGGAGGAACGCCGGGGGTGGGGTGGGCAGCAGAGCGCAGGAGCAGAGCAGGGTGTGGCGGCAGGTGGCAGGAGGGGCTCTGGGCGACTGGCACTTCGACTTTGACACCAGCTGTGTCACGTGGAGGGGGGAGGGAGATGGCGGGGGAGGAGGGGAAGGGGCTGGGGAGGAGGCAGTGCAAGAGGAGGCGGCGCAAGGGGTGGCAGTGCCAGTGAGCGTGGTGGTGGCGCTGTGGCTCTCTCGTTTCATTGCCCTGCCGTGCCACTCCTCCCCGTCTCCCCTTGTGCAGCCCGCCCCTCCCTGTGCCCCCGCTATTCAGCCCGCTCTTGCCCCTTCCTGTCCGCACGTCACCCGTGTCCCCTCCTCGCCCCGCCTGGCCAGCCTGGCAGCATGGGCGGGATGGATGGCAGCAGTGGTGCAGGGAATGGCACACGGGCAGATGGCAGATGGGAGCATGGTGATTGGGGGTGGTGCAGCAGGGGGAGGTGAGAGGGAGAGTGTGAGGGGGGCATGTGAGCACATGGCGCTCACAGTTGCATGTGTCACATTCCAACACGCCAAGGCAGCTGTGGGCGAGGGGCATGGTGGGTTGCCGTGGGTGGCCCCACAGCCACTGCCGCAGACACTGCAGCACAGCACTTCACGTGGGGGGGCGAACGTGTGTGCGCGTGGGGCGCTCACAGCGCTGGTGGAGGCGGCCCTGCACGCGCTGCTCACACGGGCCACACGCCTCGCAGAGCACACAGCTGTCGTGGCACTGGAAGCAGCGGTGCGCCTGCCCTGCCTGCACATCTGGCCAAGCCCTGTGGCGTGCCACGCACCGTGCTCACACGTGCACGTGGCGCGAGTGTGCCCCGCAGCCCTTGAGCGGCGCGTCATTCACTCGTGCGTGCACCACCCCTCATGGCGCCGTGGCAACCTGCTCTCGCTGCTCCTCGCTGCTCACGCACGCTCTGAGGGGCGCACAGGGAGCAGCAGGGTGGCGGGCGAGATGGTGCAGGCTGTGGCTGAGTGGATGGGTGGCGAGGAGAGGCAGTGGTTGGGCGCACGCTCAGCCAAGGGTGTGGGGGGCAGGGCGGATGCAGGAGGTGGTGAGGGGCACGCGTGGTGGCAGGATGGGGACAGGTGGATACGCATGCTCATGCTGCTGCCTGCAGTGGTTGCTGCTGTGGGTGGGCAGTGGAAGGAGGGCGAGGGTGGAGGGGCAGCAGGTATGAGTATGGTGGCGTGCACGTACAGAGACATGCTCCTCGCCCTGCTCCCTCCATGCACCCCGCCCCATACCGCCACAACCACCCCTCCCTGCCACCTTCCCCTCTCCCATCTTCCTCCTCACATCCTTCCCTCCTTGCTCTTGTATGTCCCCGCTCTTCTCCACTCGCTGCTGCTCGCTCATCCCCTCCCCCGCTTGCGCCTCGCCTCGCTCGTCCACGTGGTGGTGCCACACGAGCAGCAAGAGGGCGGAATGCAGGGGGGAGGCAAGGCCGCACGTGGAAAAGGGAGGGGCAGTGGGAAGGGCAGGGGGGAGGCGGAGGAGGGTAGAGGGGGGGTGGTTGGAGGTGGGGGGTGGCGTGTGCAGGGGGGCTGTGTGGCGGCTGCCACGCTGCTGCAGGTGGCACTGGCGCCCCGGCTGGCCTGCACCGGCCCTATGCCCACGGCGCCCTTCAGGACTGCTAGCACTGGTAGCGCTGGCGGTGTTGGCGCTGGCAGGTGCGGTGGGGAGAGCGAGGGCACGAGAAGGGTTTGGGGAACGCCTGCTGCACAGATGAGGGTTCTGGCTGCCCTTCTGAATCTTCTTGGAAGCATCTTCCCTCTCGCACCGGAGGCACATGTGACTGTGGTGACGGGCAGTGGTGGTGGCAGTGGGTGGGGGCAAAGAGAGCATGTGAGGAGGGAAGGTGAGAGGGCAGTGGGTGGTGGGCGGGTGACAATGGCAGCGAGAGAGCTTCAGCAGGTGGCTGCCGTGCAGCTGACTCGTGTGGCCACGCACCTGGCACGTACACTCACTGCTGCTCCACCTGCCATGCCGCCACACCCGCCACCATCTCCCACCACCCCGCACGTCCCCCTGCCTCTGCTGCAGCACGGCCTGGCCTCGCTGCGCCTTGCAGCCGTGGCGTGCCTCAAGCACCGCTTCGCCCACCCTCTCGCCTTCCACTCCCTCACCCTCGCCTGCCGTGCTCTGCTCGCCGCCGCCACTGCCCCCTCCGTGCACCCACCGAAGCGTCCCGTGGCAGCAGCAACACCACCATCACAATCGCCAGAAGCCGCGGCAGCAGCGGTGTCCAGCGTGGGGTGCGCCCTCTTGGACCTCCTCCTCGCACACTCTCGCACTCTGCCTCTCCTCCTCTCCCCCTCCGCTGGCCCCTCCGCCGCCCCCCTGCCTGCAGCGCTGGCCCACCAACTGCACAAGGACAGCAGCAGAGCTGTATCGCTCCCATCGCCCCTCTCCCTCATCCCCTCTCCCCTCCTCCCCGATCTCCCCCTCATTGCCGCATCCTGCCCGCCCTCTTCTGCTCGCAGTACTCGCATACACGCCAGCTGGCGGGGGGCAGCGTGGCAGGTGCAAGAGGGGCAGAGAGTTGCAGACAGGGAGGAGTTGGGGGAGGAAGCGGAAGCAGGGGCAGGCGTGGAGGTGAAGGTGCGGGCCAGTGAGCTCCTGCACTCGTGCCTTCACTCCACCATGCTGTGGCCGCTCGCACTGCCATGCCAGGCACCAAGCCATGCAGCGAGGGAGGGGAGAGAGGGTGGAGAGGAGGAGAGGCCTGATGGGGAGGCAGGAAAGCAAAGGAAGAGGAAGAGGAAGAGGCGGAAGGGAGGATCAGAGGGGGGTGAGGAAGGCGCATGTGCAGGTGAGGGTGCAGCGCGGTTGGAATTGCTGCGGCTGATGACTGCCTTTCTGCGAATGAGGCTGTGCCACGTGTCTGGCCGTGTGTGCTCATCGGCGTGTGGGCGTGCTGTACAGTCGCTCTTTGCGCTGCTGCTCGCCCTCTACGGCGCCACCCTCAGCCCCACCGACCGCGCACTGCTCGCCCTCATGCACCTCCTCACACGCCTTGCACGCCGCGACATGCCACGTGCGGCAGCCCGCATCGAGGGGGGGGACCAGCAAGCTGCGCAGGCAGCAGGGGGTGCTGATGGGGTGAGCACGGTGGTTGCAGAGGAGTTCCTGGGTTTTGAGTGGTTTGACTATCTTTGGGGCCAGGGGGCCGCATCACGCTGGGAGTGGCAGCAGGGAAGGGGACGAGCACCAGCACAGGCAGGGGGTGAGGGCCAGGCAGAAGGTGCTGCACAAGATGGCAGGGAGATGGGGGTAGCGGGGGGGGAGGAGGTGGGTGGGAATGGTGATGGTGTGTTTGAGGGGCGCGAGCAGCGGCAGTGGCGGTTCTGGTGGGAGGAGGCGGCGGTGGACGCCACGCGCTGTGGGCTGCTCGTGCTCGCCTTCCCTGCCCTCCGCCACGCACACTTGGGGGGGGATGCAGGCGAGCAGGGGCGAGACGGAGAGGGAGGGGGAGTGGAGGACGTGGAGCAAGAGGGTGAAGGGGTGAGTGAGTGGATGGGGCACGAAAGCACGCACATGTGCATATGCAGTGCGAGCTGCATGGGAGGGGGGGGCGACCCTTGTGTGCGGCAGCAGGCTGGGCAGGGCCACCCTCTCCCCGGGTCAGCGGCGGGTCAGGACGTGGCGGTGCAGCAGGCAGCCTACGACCCCGCCTTCCTGCTCCCCTTCACCCTGCACGCCCTCTCCCGCCGCCTCCTCTCCCCGCGCATGGCTGCCCGCTGCGGGCTCATGGCGGCTGCCATTGCCAGCCTGGCGTCGGCGCAGCACAGCATGCGGCGCCTGGGCTACGCCACTCTCGCACTCTTTGCTGCTCTGCTCGAGGTATGTGCGCTGCTGCAAGCCACTTTGGGCTCAAGTGGCGCTCTTCAGCTGATGATGCTGGCATGCATGCGAGAGGTGAAACAGTGAACGGCAGGAACGAGTGTGATAAGTGGTAAGAACTAACTTTGTTCCCAGCACTGATGTCTTCCTCTGCATCTCCCCTGCACCTTTCATCCACACGGTGTACATCTGGTCCGCCCCGTTGGTTGTGGAGTGGAGTGGTGCAGGAGCAGGAGGAGGGGTGGAGGGAGCAGCACGCCGTGCAGCATGTGGTGCGCTGTGTGCGGACCACCGTCACCACCACATGGCAGCGCCTGCCGCGCCTCTCTGTGCTCTTCATGGCGGAAATGCTCCAAGTCATGCATCTGGGGGGAGCCTCCCCTCTCTTTCCTCTCCTCTCCCAATCGCTTCTCTCCCAACCATCCTTCAACCTCACGGTAGGGCTCCCATTCGCTTTTTCTCTGCTGGTCCCCATCATGGTTGGTCCCCATCATGGTTGGTCCCCATCATTGTTGGTCCCCATCATGGTTCGTCCCCATCATTGTTGGTCCCCATCATCGTTGGTCCTCATCATTGTTGGTCCCCATCATTGTTGGTCCCCATCATTGTTGGTCCCCATCATTGTTGGTCCCCATCATTGTTGGTCCCCATCATTGTTGGTCCTCATCATTGTTGGTCCCCATCATTGTTGGTCCTCATCATTGTTGTTGGTCCTCATCATTGTTGGTCCTCATCATTGTTGGTCCTCATCGTTGTTGGTCCTCATCGTTGTTGGTCCCCATCATTTTTGGTCCTCATCATTGTTGGTCCTCATCATTGTTGGTCCCCATCATTGTTGGTCCTCATCATTGTTGGTCCTCATCATTGTTGGTCCCCATCATTGTTGGTCCTCATCATTGTTGGTCCTCATCATTGTTGGTCCTCATCATTGTTGGTCCCCATCATTGTTGGTCCTCATCATTGTTGGTCCCCATCATTGTTGGTCCCCATCATTGTTGGTCCCCATCATTGTTGGTCCTCATCATTGTTGGTTCCCATCATTGTTGGTCCCCGTCATTGTTGGTCCCCATCATTGTTGGTCCCCATCATTGTTGGTCCTCATCATTGTTGGTCCCCATCATTGTTGGTCCCCATCATTGTTGGTCCTCATCATTGTTGGTCCTCATCATTGTTGGTCCTCATCATTGTTGGTCCCCATCATTGTTGGTCCTCATCATTGTTGGTCCTCATCATTGTTGGTCCTCATCATTGTTGGTCCTCATCATTGTTGGTCCCCATCATTGTTGGTCCTCATCATTGTTGGTCCTCATCATTGTTGGTCCTCATCATTGTTGGTCCTCATCATTGTTGGTCCTCATCATTGTTGGTCCTCATCATATCAGTGTTCCACTCCCCCTTCCCACCGCTGCAGACCGTGCCACTGCTGCTGCCGTGCCTCATGAGCGGCTCGCCCCACCACCGCGCCCAGCGCACGTGGCTGCTGCACCTCCTGGCCGCCCTCGCCATCCCACCCTTCCATGCCTCCCCTGCAGCCCCCGCCCCTTTGATACTTCCCCTTGCCCCACAACTGGCTGCTGGAGGGGAAGGGCAAGAGATGGGTGGTGGCAGGGGGGGCGGTGACAAGGTCGACGATGGGGATGGGGGCAGTGGCAACGCAGACGAAGGGCACGAGGCTGGCAGTTTTGAGGGGGATGCTGTTCTTCGGCGCCGCTTTGTTGTGGAGCTTCTGGGAAGTTTCTTCGCGTGTGGGGTGAGCGATGTGTTCACCTGCAAGCTGATTCTGCAGGTGCTGCGGCGCGTGTGCTGCCTGCCCTCGTACGCGGGCCACCTGGTGCGGCAAGGCGGGCTGCTGCTGTGGCTCACAGCCGTTGTGCACGCTGCCTCGCACAGCCTCCACCGTGCCCACACCCACACCGCCCACCTCGCTCTCCTGCTGCCTTCCACTCCACGCGCACTGCAGCTCGCTGGATCCCCTGGAGCCACAGAAGGAGCAGCTGCTGCAGGGCGGGCAGAGGGCAGGCAGCCAGAAGTTGATGTTCTAGCGCTCGCGGTGGAGGTTAGTGGCTTTGCAATGTGCCGCCAAGCACAGCAGCCTGCAGCGTTGCTGTCAAGTGGTGTTGTCTGTGGTTCGCAATGCTGTCATTTTGTTTATTCAATGGGTTTGATGTTCTTGTTCATGCCATTTTTCGTTTCGGCTCCCCTCCCACACCCCTTCTGTGTGCTCCTCCCGCCAGGTGCTGCATGGGCTGCTCTCATGCCCATGCATGCATGCAGCACTGCTCTCACATGCCACCTCAACTTCCCATCACCTCCTCCTCCTCACCTCTGCATTGGAACGTGCGTTACACACAGTGTCTCACAGCACCCAGCCCCTCTCGCCCTCTTCCCTTGGGCTCGCAAGGCTCACCCATGCTGCCCTGGTGCAGCTGATTGCGGTGTTGCCAGAAGTCAGAAAGCACTTAGGGAAATAGCAACCGTTAGCAGTGATGCGTGCAAGTTGCGGAGTTGTCTAAAAAGGCTAAACTTTAGAGCAGGATAACAATCATGCCCGTAATTCCCCGGTTATAAGACCCCCTTCAATTGTAGACCTCCGGTGTTGAAATCAGAAAGTGATCGTAACCAGGATCACCTCAGGAAGGTTCGCACAATTCTAGTCTAGTGGTGGTGGGCCCTTGACCCCACACCTGCGCCAGCGACAAGTCGGCCTTCTTCCCGGTCAGCAGTTGGTACGGCGTCATCCCCGGCGGCAGCGCCGACCTCTCAAGGCAATTGCGGACCCAGACGGCCAGCCGAAGAGCGAGGTGCCACTAGTGGTGCTGCACGCCCATGTGCAGCAGCATCGTCCGCACCGACTCCACCACCGTCCTCATCTCCCGCTCCGCCATGCCGTTCTGCTGCGGGGTGTATGGGCAGGTCAGGTCGTGGACGATCCCCTTGCCGTTCACGAAGTCGGTGAACTGCTTCCCGAGGAACTCCCCTCCCCGGTCAGAGCGCAGCATCAACACCGACTTCTTCGTCTGCCGCTCAGCCACCGCCAGCCACTGCACGAACACCGGCAATGCATCTGACTTCTTGGCGACCGGCTTCATCCACACGTAGCGGGTCTTGCGGTCCTTCGGCAACAAGAAGTACAGGCTGCCATCCTTGGCAGCCACGCGGAACGGCCCGCACAAGTCGATGTGCACAACGGCCAGCGCGTCGTCGGCGTCGGAGCCTTGGTCAGGGAAGGTGTGCCGCGCCAGCTTCCCGCCGACGCACGAGACACACGATGAGTCGGCGCCTGTCGCCGACTTGAGATCCAGCCCAATGGCGACCTCGTTCTTCGCCGAGCTCCTGATGGTGTCCATGCTGACGTGCGCAAGTTTAGCATGCATCCCGTCCGGCGTCGACTTCGTTATCAAGACGATTGCCCGCAGGGCCACAACCTCCGTCGTGGGCGACGTCGACCTCGTTGAGTAGGGACGCAGGTCGGTGCAGAGGACACGCCCGGAGTACGTCGCCCGACCGAGCACCTCTCCCTTTGCCGAGACGAGCAGCATCCCGTCGCCGTCCTCTTGCAGCTTCACGCCGTGCTCCTTCAGCTGGCCGGACGACAGCAAGTTTGCCCGCACACCCGGGACGTACAACACGTCGGGGATGAGCACTTTCTTCCCGGCCTCCCCTTGCAGAGCGACGGTGCCGCGGCCCTGGACGTCCTGCAGTGCCCCATTGAAGCCGCGCACGTGCTTGATGGAGCCGCTCGGCTGCAGGTCGACGAAGACTTCCTTCATCCCCATCAGGTGGTGGGAGCAACCGCTGTCGAGCAGGACCACCGCCTGGAAGTCCTCCCCAGCCTCTGGCGCCAGCGAGACGGTCGGCTCCACGACGCCAACCAGCGAGCACGACGCCGTCTTGTCGTCCCGCCCCTTGCCGCCTGCAGAGGAGTCGGCGTCCTTCACCGAGGTCGACGTCGTCGACTGCTTCTCCTTGCACAGCTTGTTTCCTCCTCGACGAGGACGACGACTGCCAGACCTCCCGCGACCTCCCTTGGCGTTGTCGTCGTTGGAGTCACTGCGGTCGGGGCACTCGAAGGAGAGGTGGTCGGGGTCGCCGCACAGCCAGCACTCCCATCGTCGACCTCCTCCTCCTCGACCGCTGTCTTTGGTCGACTTCTTCTTGTCGACCTCCTTGGCCGGCTTCCAGCCACTGCTACCGCCACCGCCGGACTGTCCGCGCTGCCCCGGTCGACCTCCTTGCTTCGCCGGGGCGACGAAGTTTGCCTGCGCCAAGAGCTCCTGTGACCGCTCAGCCTCCTGCATCGCCTCATCCTGCAGGATGTACGAGGTCAAATTGTCCTCGTTGAGCGTCGTCCTCGTGCTCGGCGCCATTGACAGCCACTTGAGGAGGTTGTAGCTTCTCGAGAGTCCTTGCATAACGTGGGTGACGTACGACATCGTCGAGTACTGCGCGCCGGCCATCCTGATGGTGGCGAGAATTCGCCGGGCCCGGTTGCAGTAGTCGGTCGCCGTCTCCTCGTCGCCCATACGCAGATGAGTCAGCTGCCCCTCCAGCTAGGCGATGAACAAGTCGTCGGTGACTTGGTAGGTCGACTCGATGAAGTGCCATGCCCAGTGGCCGGCGTTGAGGTACTCTCGGCACCATTTCAAAGCGATCTGCACACCTAGCGAGCAGCACCGCGAGATGACCGTGAAGGTCAACAGCTGCACGGCGCAAAACTATGCTCGTAAGTCGGCATGGTGCTCCTCCGGCGTCGCCACAGTCCCTCGGGCGAAGCCGATCAGCCCAACCATCTCCAACTGGGGCTCGATAGCTTCCTTCCAGGTGAGAATGTCTGGTCGACCAACGAGCGGCGGGGTGACCAAGATCCTGTCCGGCGTGAACTTGAAGTAGCCGTAGCTCGGTGCAATCCCGCCCGTCGTCACCGGGGTCGCCGACATCGGCGACAATCCGTTTCGTCGTCCTCTGACGTCGCCCTGTGAGGTGCTTGCAGCCGCCATCAACCGCATCCCTCACGTCTGAATGCCGCCGACTTCATCGGCGTGTATCACACCTCTCTGCATCGACATGCCTCCCGCACTGCTGCCAACCTGGTCACCACCGGCGTTGACACCCACGTTGACGCCGACCTCTGTGTTCACCGGTCGAGGAGACGCCGGTCGAGGAGGGGGATGCTCCGACGCCCACATGGTGCGGAGTCCAGCCTCGACGACCGCCCAGGGTATCGTCCCATACTCCTGGGCCTCATGGCGTCTCCTCGCATCCTCCAGCCGTCCCTCCAGGGTGTCCATCACCTTGGCATCACCTACGCGCACGCTAGGGAATGCACGGCTGCCGGCCTACGAACAACTTAGGTAAGTGACCTCTACGTCGACCTGACTGAAAGGTAAGTCGTGTACCTTCCACGCTCATCGCACCATGCGGAGATAACTACTACAACGGGAGCTAGACTACGGGCTAGACACGGGTGCTTGTGTGATCTCTGCGTTCGTTGGCCCTTAGTCGTTTTCCTAGTGCACACACAGCTTGCCAGTTCATGGGGAGAATTGGCAAGGGTTTCAAAAGAAAAAGTTGACAACAATGGTACAATGAAGTTGGCATGGCAAAACTACATCAGAGCTAGCATTCAGGTCAGTCGACTGCCAGCACAGCATGGTTGACCGCGTTCCAGCACGACTTGGTCGACCACGCTCCAACGTGACAACGTTGACAACGTCGACAACGTGCCAACGCTGCAGGTTGACGGCGTGCCAGCATTGCTCCCGCAGAACAGCAGCGCACCTACTTTGCAGGTGCTCGTAGATGACTGGCGAGCTAAGCCTCGTCACCTGAACAGCGCACGCACCAAGTCATCCTCGTGCTGACAGCTCCACCTGATCCGCCACGTCGACCTCGGGAGACCACCACCGAGGTCGGACTCGCAAACTTAGCCGGGGCGACCGTCGCACTCCTCCGCAGAAGTTCGTCACCCAGGTAACCTGGTCGACTTGACAACCACGTGAACCACCTGCTCCCGTACATGCCTGTCGACCTCCCAAGTCGGTGACCTTGCAAGTCGGCGTCAACTTCCAGGTCGACGTGCCACATCGCCAACCACCAAGTCGGCGGCATTGCAGTGGCCCCGTGCAAGTCGACCAAGCCCGTCGACCAGCTCGCCCAAGTCGGCGTCGCCCACTGCAACAAGTCGGCTGTACTTCCTGTACACCCAATCCACGAAGTCGGCACCACCCAAGCGAGGACCGGGCCAACAAAAACTCCCGTTGACGGGAAAAACGTTGGACGGGGAAAAACGTTGGACGCGGAGAAACGTTAGGCGGGGAAAAATGTGTGAAGAAATGAGGAATGAACGAACTAGCAAGCAGGTGGGTACAAGTAGGAAAACCTAGAAGTGTTGTACCCCATATTGTCTACCCCACTATACCCTACACAGACTATAGCATATAAGTTTGACACACCCCCATAGGCAAAGTGGGGGAGAACAAGAGGTCACAAGACCAGTCAAGCAAAGCAAAGCAAACACAGCGTGGATCACAATGTCACCACACAATCCGAGCACAAGAGCAAGGCCAAAAGGCCAGTTCACAAGCAAGATCATATATCAAGGTAAACAAGCAAGTGCAGGTCTAGAAAGATCACAGTACAAGCAAGGTCAAGAAGTGAGCAAGTGGGGCCAATTAGGCACAAGACCTAGCATCGTACAGAAACGCTGATGATCACCAGGCGGTAGTGCATTGGTAAAGATATCAGCAGTGTTGGCCTGAGAGGCCACGTAAGCAAGGTGCAGCTGACCACGCTGCTGCAGCTCACGAGGAAGGAAGTAACGAAGAGCAATGTGCTTCGTTCTGTGCTCCAGTCTGTGCTCCCGACACAAGGCCAGCATGACCTTGTTGTCTACGTACAGAACTGGAGGACAACGAGGCGCCTCTCCTAGGTCAGTAAGCAGGTAGATGAGCCAGCGTAACTCCTGTGCAGCCATGGCCCCCGCGTAGATCTCGGCCTCACAGCTGGAGCCGAGAACAGAAGACGAGCGGGTAGACCGCCACAAAACAGAGCCGGAAC